CATTGACTATGGTCTATTTTCTCCCAATGCTGTACAGTGCTTAGACTAACGTGCATCACTGTATGGAATATACACATTTTCTAATGCTGGAAGGAAATGAGAGGAGACGTTCCAGTTTTAGAACACAAATACATCCATTTTAATTTGAGAAAATACAAAAAGAAATCATGTACAATTTATGTACAAACTTTTTGTACAAGACAGTATATTTATCAGCAGATTATATTTGACAGAGTCAGGTAGATCAACTCAGCACCATCAAATTCTCCATATATCTATTCTCGCTTCGACAAATCCAAACTAAGTAAACTACTATTTCAAACTCCTGATTCCAGCAATGACCATGTGCCAAACAATCAGATATGCGACATGTGAGAGCAATATCCTGAATTCCACCTGAACTGATAGGCAGCCCCCCCAAAAAATAACAAAAACTGCAAGTTTCTTTTTTTTTTCTCAAAATCAACTTAAAAATTGCTAACTGCAATTTCAATGTGTTGTTAAGACTTAAATCCCCCCATAATATTATATATTTTATTACATCTAGTACATTTTCCAGCAAATAAGTTATATCCATCCTTTACAGCAAGAAAATAGATTAACAAAACTATGTAACATACTGTAACAATGTGTGAAGTTTCATAGTCCTGACTCTTAAATTGACTAAAACACTGACAGGTGGTCTCAAGCATATGAAACAGCCTGGCCTGTGCTCTCTGTGCATCCTTCAGTCATTCATACCTTCTACCACGCAACAAACATGTTTTAACATCTCTCCCTGTAGTCTCCTAACAACAAGATAGGTACCTTAGGCTACAGACAGTACAACCAACACAGATGTATGATACGTTGAGGGTTGAAGAGCAGTGTCCATGCTCCATGTACTCTTCCCTCATTTTCAATGCCACTTTTTGCTATAGTGGGTCTTCAAACAGGCCCTCCTTTAGACCTACAGCACTGCCTGGCACTCTACTGGCATGGAGGCATTGATGGCTTGGATGTTCTCCATGCCAGTATAAGATGCCATACTCACATACATTTACTTCCCTTTCTGAGAGGAACTAACTCAATCCTTACTCATTCTGAATAAGTGAGTGAGTCTGTGAATGACTGAACGATGCTTGTTCAACAACACTTTTCATGGCACTTCAAAACACTCTAAAACTTTAGAGGCTTACATTGCAAAGACTTCAACATCTAATACAAACGTATGATATGGTATAGAGCAGTACTTTAGATTTGTGGAGTATTTGCGCTGGAAAGAGATAAAGCTTAAAAACCTTAGAATGTAAGAACAGGTTTCAGTCCAGTGTTGTGATTTTTTTCCAGTTTGAGTCAAACCAGTCACACAAATTGTGGGTACACGTATTGAAAATAAAAAAAACATTTAGATACAATGAAATGGACTGGTGGACTATTCTGTAAGTATGCGTCTGCTTTGGGTTGTGATTTGTACCATTTGATTTCTGAGTAAAGTGATATTTAAGTACTTCTGAATACAAAAAAGAAAACTCTGTAAACAAATAATAAGCAGTAGTGACAGTTTCAAACAATCCTTGGATATTACTATGGTAACAAAAATGACAAGAGCTGACACAATGGAATGTAAACCCTGATAAGGAAAAACTATTTTAACAAGAACACTAAAATTAAGTATGTCCTCTCTTACTGAATTGGTGCTACCCTATGGCTGCGTCTCTGTGATGGTTGATATTACCAGGTCAAATTACACCTGCTCTTTCCAAGCATTACATTCACTTTTCTTGTTGCAATGTGAACCCAGGAAAAGGATCTTGAATTTCAAAAGTCAAGTTGTTCTTTTTTTTCTTCATATATGTCAAAACAATAATTTTGTCCTTTGTCAATACTATGTATAATTAATTAATCATGTCATTGTCAGCATCAAATATAAATCCTTATTTTTCAGGCTAGCAAGTATATTATTAACAATCCAATTATACATAGATCTTTACTCATATATTTTCTGAACATAATTCTACTTGCTACAAAGTGTGACGACAATGTAATCACAATTCAAATGTTCACCTCAGGACAATGTCAATGAGCCCGCAGTAGAGTTGCAACACACCCAATAGATAGACAGAAAGCTCAGGCCATTTTGCTTCAGAGAGTCACGTGATCTATATAATGGGAGGAATTTACACAACATATTTAGATAGAAATATGTGGGGTTTTTTTTCTATTGAATGACAGGTCTTTAGAAATACATTATCTTTTGTCTATATTCTCAAGGCTATCTGTTCACTGCAAACAACCTGATGATGCTCTAACAATCTCTCTCTGTCACATAGTTTGAAACATGTCCATGGAGAATGACAGTATACACGCACATAAATTCTTCAGTGTATCTCTCCTTAGATAGAGACCTAATTTAGGTCAATCATTGATAGTGAAGGTCACACAGTTTCACCCTCAGAACAGAACGAATGGCTAAACGCCTCAGATCCAGCTTCAAGCACCTTTCCGATTGGCCCTCTGTCTGGGTATTACTAACACCCATTGAAACTCAAGTTCGTTTGCGATTGTTTCCATCACATTTCTGTTTGACTCACACATCCGTATTCGTATTCACTTGTCGATGAAAATGATCAGTCTTATACACAGCGATAAGGTTTATCAATACAGCTACAGAGATCCTTCAACTAAGCCCATCTACGTTTTAAGGAGCACTCAACAGTTAAGACAAAAACTTAAGAGTTAAATTTAGGTAATCTCCTATACAATATTGACTTTTATTAATGAATATACTTTCAGGGATGGTCTTTGTTGCAAAGAGGAGAGGGGACTTATACTTTTCTTCAATGATGCATGTCTAATTATAAGTATTTCAGAATTTATATTAATCATTTTGGTATGATGATGTTAATTAAAGCAATTAATTTGGAAATAAAAATCTGATATGCAATTATAGGCCTAGTAATAATTATAACGGATTAATTTCATAAAGCATTTCTCACTAGGTCATGTGTAAAAATAAGTAGAAAATGATCATGCTCATATGCCAGGTTTAGTTTTTAGTTGGATCATCTGTGACACCATACCCTCTCCTTCCCAAGGCTGCAGCTCTTTCTGGGTTGCTTTTGGATCAAAACAAAATCTGTCCATTTTGAACACACACTTGAGCCTTGACCAGGATAACATGAAGAGCACAGGCAGTATTCTCCAGCGTTCTTCATAGTCATCAGTGGCATCATTTTAAACCAAACTATGATTGAGCTTTTCCCTAACGTTTACCTACATAGAGTTTAGAGGTGTTATGATGACATCAGGATCGTCAGCGGAGAACATCCAAGCACTTTACTGCCTCCGTTACCAACCCTGTGCCAGGCAGTGGCTCTGGTCAAAGGAGGACCCATTGATGCCCATTTTACGCAATATGTGGCATTGCTTCTCCAAATTTCTCAACAGACAAAAAACATTCAAATGATATGCTTATTGTTTTCATTCTTAAATCCCAATTTTCGCCATAGATATCATGGCAAAGAATGTTTGGACTTAAATGCTTTCCCTAAAGTTTTAGGGCACACAGCTAATGTTTGTTCACATTTTTTCAGCTCAATCATAGTTGGTGTATTACCGGTGATATGAATAGGTAGTTTGTTGATCTGCAACCCCCAGACAGATCTAGTTCCTCTATGTCTTGCAGGTTTGAAGCCTTGATCCCACATGATGCTCCCCCAGAGGCTGAACCACCATCACAGACACACTGATGGAGAGATGATGATACCAATTTGTGCATTTAACTCAGATGTACCACCGATGTTCTTACTGAGGGGACACATTGCTGCCATGTACAGTACACACATTGCATGTACATACCATATGCATTGTCTGTCCACACAAGGGACAAGACAAGGCTGTCTTTTCACCCCATTCATGTGTTCGCCAGGGACGAGACAAGGTTGTCCATTCACCCCTTTCATGTTTGCACATTAGGGATAGGACAAGGTTGTTCTTTCATCCCTTTTATGTTTTCAGTTTAAGTTGATCATCTGTGCTGTATTGTTATTGAAGGGCTCAGGCACATACCATGCGATGATAGGAGCTTGAAACGTGGTCATCCATATTCATTGTGATATCACCAGAACCGATGTAGGTACAGTGTAGCTATATACTCTGTCAGCCAGCTTATCCAAGAACTGTCTCTTACAGTACTCTCAGAGTCTCAAGACAACTGATTTTCAATATGATCTCATTCTACAGGACTGGAATGCATTCATTGATTACTCAACAGTGTGATGACATACAGTAGCATACCCTAAGCAGTGAAGTAATGGATCTTTCCACATTACCACAGTACAGTTGTACATCTCTCCAAATGACAAGCAGCTTTTCTTTTGTTCAGTGAATCAACAACCAAAAAGCTGACACTTTCTGTGATGGTAGTTGTTTTGGGGAGATGTCAATGTTTCAAGTCGTCATGTTGCAAAAGAACGTGGTCAGTTTTTGTGCAAATAGAACAGAAGCAGATAGGGAGTATGAGTGGTGAGCGGTGAACCCCAGCCGATTTTGTGGATCTTTGGGAGATGTTATGATGTTGTGATGAGCAAACTGCTGCGGCCCTCATCCTCCAACAACCAGTAGTAACCTCAGCTACAGTAGCCATGGAGTGTGGTCACATGAAGATGTGAACTATTGCAAATAATTACAGGAAGTACTTTTTCTTCTCTTTTCAACTCAAAATAATTTCAAAAAGTGCTAGGGGGGGATGAACAATCCTTTTTTGATTGTCATTATGTACATCTCTATGGAAGATTGATGAATAAAACATTGTCCATTGTAGAGCATGGAAGTAACATTAAAGGTATACACATAGGAGGTCCCTTCAAGTTGTGGTGTTAATGTCAAACCCTCGATCTGTAGAATGAGTGGGGACCAATGAATCAACATCATCATCATCCCCGTTCGTCATCTCTCTTTCTCTCCTTTCGTAAGAGCGTCCAGACTTCTCACGAGTCATCATGGGGGCCTGGTTTTCAGCATTCATCTTCAACTTCTCTGATTGGTGGAATCAGACTGCTAGTGGATTTGTATTGGTTGACTTGGTTGGCCATGTGAGTGCTCATGGGCTTGATCTGAATGTTCCGTTGGTAGGCATTTTCTGGTTCATCTGTAAACCATTTCCTTTCTGCGGAGGGATGGGGCAGAAACAAAGTGTTAGTGTTGAATAATCTACATGGTTTCATGTCATATATTACTGTCTCAGTTTAAATAGCAGTGTTTTATAGCATGTATGACATTCCAATCCAAAACGCCATGAGGGACCATAGGTTTCAGATCAGTTACTTCATTTCCTTCCAGGTAAAGTAAATTCAACTTTGGTGAGTGTGTGTGGGTCAGTCAGCTTAGTGCTCAAGCTAGTGTGTTGCAGCATAGGCGTTTGATGTTTTAAACTATGCCTAAGGTGAAGCAATATGTCTGTCGCCTGAAACCACCACAGGGTTATGAGTGCAAAACTTACCGCCTCATATCCTTCTGCAATTTAGACTTTATATTTGTCATGCCTCCCCGTTTCGGGGAGGTGTCAGTTTGAGGTTTCGCGCCTACTCATATCGATACCCAAGCTATGATCTTTAGGTAATCAAATGTCTACAGTTTGTGTTAGGTGTGTTACATAGTGTGTGATAGGCAACACCTTGTCTCTGTGGCTCTAGTTGATACAGTAATACTGAATCTGGATTACAACACTTAGACAACATCAGTCATCTGATCGCATTCAATAGGAAAGGATATGTGCAAACACACAGACCTCTCACACAATGCAATTTGTGTCAAGTTGAAATAAAGCAAACTAAAAAACATAATAAATAATAGGGATATTATACAAAATAGAGGCTCTGTCAAGAGAAAACAAAGAAAAAGCATCATCAGGTGAATTAAGGTGTCAAGGAGGTAAAACAGAAAGATAAGTAGAGGAGAAAGGTTGGACCTCATGCAGTGCAGAGATGGTCCTGGGCATGACAGGGAGAGGGCAGAGGCAGCAGCAGCCATTTTGCTTTCCATTTGTTCAAAAGCAAAACTTAAACTGAGGCATGATGACTTTTCCTTACAGGAAAATAACAAAAACACTACAAAACCTCCCCTTGTCATAACAATCTCCACAGGGACAAAGTTATGATTAGAACCCCACGTAAAGGGTGCTATAGTAATAGTAGGACATGCAGAATCATTAACTTGCATACCTTGGCTCATTCTATTCATCCTTGTTGCACTTCAGAAAGAGAAGTAGGTAATCTAAGTAAGTAAGGTATTACAGTCTACAAGGCAAATAACACGTCTAAAACACAATCACTGACATGACTGGATCTCTTGCTGTACTCTATGTAAGCACTGACACTGGCTGCATTTTATCAAATAAATCAATCCTATTTTCTAATACAATCAAGGCCCCATTGCCAAAATAATATTTTTTTACACTTTTGAATGTTTTATGTTATTTCAGTTTACTTCCTGAATTGACCCCAACCCTACTTGTCAGATGTTCCCTTATCACTGTCTAAGTTTCTAGATACTGAACACCTACACTTCACTTCCCTAGCATGCAATGTTTGAGAGGAATTTAAGATAAATGCTAAGGGACATTTAAAAGGACACTAAGACATTACAATTGATCTGTTGTCTTTAATCTTAAGAATTAACCTAGTAAATGATCTATCACGGTTTAGGGAGTGGTGTTGGTAGCATGATGTGTCTTCTCACCATTATAATCAAATTCTCTGAGTAGTTTTAAAAATAATGAGTTCCTTATCGCTCAATATAACTTAATGTATATATTGTCTTATTCTATATTATGGAAAATAGATCAAAATTAAAAACAGAACTAAAAATAAGCATTTGAGATTGAGAACTAGGAACATGGACATGCGATGACAGAACAGACACAATAACCAGACAGATGTCCACACAGATGGTCTAATGATGTTTCTCGTTCATAGACAACCTGTAAAGGTTTGTCTATTTAAATCGTGTTACATTAAAATCCATACCCATGCCATACTGCTTGTACGAACGCCAACATATAAGAAGGCTATGCCAACATGAGTCAAATTATAGTGTCTTATAGAAACTAACAGATCTAGCAAAAAACGACTGGCATGCCGGTCACCGGCTTGGTACCAAGACAACATATGAGAGGTCTTTCTATGTCAATGTTCCTCATCTTCTTTCAGTGGCATCTTGAGTTATTAAATTAATGCTTAAATACAGGTTCAATGAGGTCAGCGGGAAATAAGAAGTGTTTTCTTTTGCTCTACAAATATTTGTGAAAATAATGCACATAAACGTTTCCCCTTAGTTCCATTAATGAGATCATGGTAGCTTTGAAGGCAGGCTGAGATGTCAGAGCAAGAACCACATGCTGATGGTTATAGAGCAAACATTGCACAAACATGACGTGGACATTGAGCACAAAATCTCACAAACAAAACACAAACCCCAACAAACACACAGACATGGATAATTGACCCAAACAGTGTCTCACACACACTTGCATACACCCGCCCGCCCGCACGTACACACTCAAACACAATCTGGTCACAACCCTACATAGACACAACACCCACACCAAACATACTACACATGCCCAACAAACACAAAAAAGACACACACAAAAAAAACATCTCATCCACCTACTTCTGTTTGTGGCCGGCCTCCCGGGGCTTGCTGCTGCGGTTCTGCCGGTTGGTGGTGGGGATGGAGTGGACGGACGAGCTCTTTTTGCTGGAGGAATGGGAGGAGTGAGAGCTGTGGGAGAGGCTGGCCCGGGACTGGCCCGCGTTGTGGTCAAACTGCATCAGGCAGAAGATCAGGTCTGTGGGGACCAGCTCAAACTCATACGGAGGGTTGGTGATCACATACCTATAGACAGGACAGGATAGGAGTTAGTGGAAGACAGAACCAAACAATACTGTATAGTCAGTGTCTATATACAAATGCATAATAGAAAGTTAACAGGGTGTGGTTGAAAACTAATCAGTTACAAGATTTGAAAAACCTATTTATTTCAAATCAAAATGCTTCTCTGTGTTAGAGGCATGAAGGCATGGCCGGCCCGCCCATTAGGAAGGATTAGGCGTTCGCTTAAAGCGGCAGATTGACAAGGGCGGCATTTTCCAAGCTAAACTGACCAAGACGCATCTACAAAAACACATAACACCTAACATAATTCTGCCCCAAAACACTGAAACCTTCTCTCACCCAGTGACATATGGGCTATTAAGGTGAATGCTGATGCCGTCCCATGATAAGCAGTGCACACTTTGACAAAGACAGGTGCTCAAAATATGTATCTCGTCCATGCCCAGCGCGCCTCTCCAGCATTGCGGCGCTCCACCAACACTCTGTCAAATCATGTAGCCTATTTGGTAGAAAGTCTATAGCCTCTGTGGCCTTTTCTGTAGCCTACATGGCGACCAAATTCATGACAATATCATGAGACAGACACTTTTTACATCATGCGTGTTTCCAATCAAATAGCCTAAATGACGCCCTATCAAAAAACGATGTGCTTCGATGTGAATATGAATTAACATGTTAACAAACACTCCATATCCTAAAAACAGGACAGCTCAAAATAAAATGGACAGTAGCCTAGGGAATGAAATTAGGCTACTCACGACCTCTGTCTGGGAGTTTCACTCAGTGGGCTAAATTGTCATGATAATTAGACCCATTCGTCAATTTCTGATCTGATCATGGCGAAGAAGAAAATAGGCTATGAACTGCATTTTCCAAGATAATACACCGCCTGATAAACTTGGGTAGCTGACATAGGCAGCGCGAGTTTCACGTTTGGGGAAGCTAAGAATGTATCCTACCATTTCTACTGATCTGCATGCCAGTTATGATTTTCATATTCGCATTTTCGTGGAACAGTTTCATTTCGATAATAAAGTTTTAGTTTCTCAAATCATTGTCACATGGTTACAAAAATGATTAAGAAGCTCAGCTTATTATTATTATTAGTGGTGGTGGTCATAAATCAGGTATCCCCAAATGGGCACTTTCCTACATTTGCGTGAGCATGCCAATTAGCCTACTTTATGCGTGCATAGGTGCCCGCTCTACATCTACATTAACAGGACAGAGAAAGAACCCACACACATGCTCATTGCTCACATTTAACGCTCCAAACAAAAAACAAAACAAAAAAATTACAAAACACGTAAATGATGGTATGAAATATACCAAAACATGTTTCTCACAAGTAGCAGGTTGTGAACTTTGCAAACAATGTTTCCACTCTGAGAATGAGAACGGCAAATTACTGTAATTAATACATGCATTAACTGAAATGAATGTAACCAAATGGCAGGGATTAATGGTACATTTACTACTGGTGACATATGTAATGGGGAATTGATCAAAATAAACAATTAAAGGGTAAACAATTCACACAATGAAACAATTAATGCGCAAGAACTGGCGGGAGACAGCTATGTGCCTATATCCTCTCCACCCACCTATCTACTTTGTCTTGTCTCAACATTTTAAATGATACTCAAGACACATTGTCTTCACACATATGTTGATGCTTTTCACTGACAGCCGCAACTCAATAATCAGCTAGGCCTATTGCCATGCGTGTTGCCCTAATTGCGGACTTCCCAACTAGGCATACAGTGAGGGAATTAAGTATTTGATCCCCTGCTGATTTTGTACGTTTGCCCACTGACAAGGACATGATCAGTCTATAATTTTAATGGTAGGTTTTTTGAACAGTGAGAGACAGAATAACAACAAAAAAATCCAGAAAAACGCATGTCAAAAATGTTATAAATTGATTTGCATTTCAATGAGGGAAATAAGTATTTGACCCCTCTGCAAAACATAATTTAGAACTTGGTGGCAAAACCCTTGTTGGCAATCACAGAGGTCAGACGTTTCTTGTAGTTGGCCACAGGTTTGCACACATCTCAGGAGGGATTTTGTCCCACTCCTCTTTGCAGATTGTCTCCAAGTCATTAAGGTTTCGAGGCTGACGATTGGCAACTCGAACCTTCAGCTCCCTCCACAGATTTTCAGTGGGATTAAGGTCTGGAGACTGGCTATGCCACTCCAGGACCTTAATGTGCTTCTTCTTGAGCCACTCCTTTGTTGCCTTGGCCGTGTGTTTTGGGTCATTGTCATGCTGGAATACCCATCCACGACCCATTTTCAATGCCCTGGCTGAGGGAAGGAGGTTCTCACCCAAGATTTGACGGTACATGGCCCCGTCCATCGTCCCTTTGATGCGGTGAAGTTGTCCTGTCTCCTTAGCAGAAAAACACACCCAAAGCATAATGTTTCCACCTCCATGTTTGACGGTGGGGATGGTGTTCTTGGGGTCATAGGCAGCATTCCTCCTCCTCCAAACACGGCGAGTTGAGTTGATGCCAAAGAGCTCGATTTTGGTCTCATCTGACAACAACACATTCACCCAGTTCTCCTCTGAATCATTCAGATGTTCATTGGCAAACTTCAGACGGGCCTGTATATGTGCTTTCTTGAGCAGGGGGACCTTGCGGGCGCTGCAGGATTTCAGTCCTTCACGGCGTAGGGTGTTACCAATTGTTTTCTTGGTGACTATGGTCCCAGCTGCCTTGAGATCATTGACAAGATCCTCCCGTGTTGTTCTGAGCTGATTCCTCACCATTCTCATGATCATTGCAACTCCACGAGGTGAGATCTTGCATGGAGCCCCAGGCAGAGGGAGATTGACAGTTATTTTGTGTTTCTTCCATTTGCGAATAATCGCACCAACTGTTGTCACCTTCTCACCAAGCTGCTTGGCGATGGTCTTGTAGCCCATTCCAGCCTTGTGTAGGTCTACAATCTTGTCCTTGACATCCTTGAGAGCTCTTTGGTCTTGGCCATGGTGGAGAGTTTGGAATCTGATTGATTGATTGCTTCTGTGGACAGGTGTCTTTTATACAGGTAACAAGATGAGATTAGGAGCACTCCCTTTAAGAGTGTGCTCCTAATCTCAGCTCGTTAGCTGTATAAAAGACACCTGAGAGCCAGAAATCTTTCTGAATGAGAGGGGGTCAAATACTTATTTCCCTCATTAAAATGCAAATCAATTTATAACATTTTTGACATGCGTTTTTCTGGATTTTTTTGTTGTTATTCTGTCTCTCACTATTCAAATAAACCTACCATTAAAATTATAGACTGATCATTTCTTTGTCAGTGGGCAAACGTACAAAATCAGCAGGGGATCAAATACTTTTTTCCCACACTGTAGACCTACACGCTATTGATTTGAAACAATCCACAAAAATGTTTTTTTAAGAAGCTAATGATCCTCTGTGGCTGTCATGCTCTCTAGTGAAGTGTTTTGAATTATTTTATTTCTGTAAAGACAGGATTCATTATATAATTTTGGCAAATGTATTTCAAATTACTTTATGACACGCCGCTTATGGTAGCTGATATTCAGAGCTTGAATAGCCAAAATGATTAGTCTTAAGTCTTTGTCAAGTATCAGGACTATAAAGCCAATGCAACTGCCTGTTTTACAAATTGTAGGCTACCACATGGATAGGCATTAATTAAAGTGCATTGTGGACCGACACTGTATAGCCTAGTCCCACCAAACTCAACTCTGGACCTCGAAGCCAGTTCCACTGCGTTTTTTCATTGTTCCCCTCTAAATCAGGGACTGATTTAGTCCTGGGACACCTGGTGTGTGCAATTAATTATCAGGTAGAACAGAAAACCAGCAGGCTACGGACCTCGTAGGGTAAGAGTTGAATACCCCTGCCCTACTATTCTACTTTGTGGGGATAGGAGGAGGGCAGCAATTCTTGGGTCTCGCCAAAGGCGGCATTTGAGCCAGGACCTGCCTGAAGGGGAAACGCATCTAGGTTGTACAGTTATCTAATCATAAAAGGGTCGATAATATTTATAATATAATCATACAATTGCTAATATTAAAACAGCTAATGTTGTGACACTTGAACTGCCTTGAGAGGTGAGAGAGATGTTACATGTTAAAGATACACAGTGACGGTCTCACCTTTTGGTACACTGACTAGGTGTGGCGAGGTGAGCGTCTCTCAATCTGTAGATTCCGAAGCACAACATGTTGTACGTCTTCAACGCTTTACAGAACAAATCTCCATAGCAACCGCCATCCTGGAAAACGACAAATGACAAAAAACATCAGGGTGTGTTTGCTTATAAAGTAAGAAAAAATGTATGCACTCTAACTGTAAGTCGCTCTGGATAAGAGCGTCTGCTAAATGACTAAAAATGTAAATGTAAAAATGTAATAATTTATCTAAGTGGCAAAATAGTCTTTGCAAATATCAAACTGCAGTGCCCTGGATAAGTTTTGCTGAGTGTTTTGGGGAGATAACAATATACAGTGTAAAAATGTCCTTTATATCATGCAGGAAAGGACACAAAACAACATCCTTTCACTTTGTGACACACCCCTTCAGAATCTGAAGCACTATTAACAACTGTAAAACATTTAACATTAGATATATAAACAATGCACTGATAAATTAAAGAGTAGAATAACTCATGGGATATTCTCAGACAGTTGCATTATTCCTTTCCATAACACACACACAACCTCCTTAACAGAGCCCCCCTTGCGTGTTCTCTGTTCTTCACTTTGTATTAAGTGCCACTAGGAGGCGACCAGGCAGGATTGGGTGCTACTGGGGAGTGCCAAAATGTGTCAGCTCCGTTTAAACATCCACTTACCCCCAAGTCGGCAAAGGGCCCATCATAGAGGGCCAGCTGGGCCACACGACACCTGTCTCGGTTGGCCAGTGTCTGTGGCGTGCTGTAGCCCCCTCGCAGGGCGTTCTCCTCTGCCAATAGAGCCTCTAGCTCTGGTGTGGCTCCCCCAGTCACCAGCGTCCGGATCAGGGTGAGGATATTATCATTGAAGTATGTCTGCGGACATAAGAGGATGTGAGATCCGTAAGTAAGGAGACGCCATTAGAGCCACAACGGTAGAGGATATGTGGCAGATGGAGAAGGGGAGGGGGGAGAGATGGGAAAGAATGAAGAGAGGTTGGGATGATAGGGAGGGAGGGAGAATGAGGAGGATTGGGAGGGATGGAGAGGAGTGGGGGGGAGAGGATAGGGAGAGATGGGAGATGAGGATTGGGAGGTATGGAGAGGAGTGGAGGGGAGAGGACAGGGAGAGATGGGAGAGAGAGACACGGAGTGGACGTGCCCCATGTTATATAGACCCTTGTCTCTTCATACAGACCAGACAGAGAGGTGAGGAGACAGGGCAGACCAATTACAGAAAAAGCTTTACTTGTACCGGAACTACTTCCATTTGACATTCATTCACCAGCCATGCTTACTAAGACAACTTCTCCTCAACTTCTCCTCATAGATTGGTTTAGCAGGTTTCACATCAATACCATTACTCCTTTAATAAAATACATTGAAAAGCTGAAGCAAGCATGTTGATAACGCATATTGTTCCAACAGGTATAGAAATACAATAGCAGAATAGAAGCTCTAGTGCTCTATTTTAACAAACCTAACGCAATGGGAAATCTAAGCGCTGGCGGTAGCGCTATTGTTCCGGGAATGTGTCAGAAATATTGTTTCTATTTTCACAGCTGTTATTATGAGCACAATAGCTGCTGGTGGCCCGAAAGGCCTGGATTTTGATTAATAGACAAGTCGTAGGTGTGACTTGGGCTTGGCCACTAACTGGCCAATCAAGGCATTCCATGGCTTAATACTGTATGCGTTTGTCTCAAATTCTGTAGGTTTCTGACGGTCTTTGCGTTGTCATCTACTCGGCTCGGGGCAAGGAATATTCTTGTCCCAGTCCATTGTGGATTGATAATACTGTTTATTATATACAGTTGAAGTCTGAAGTTTACATACACTTAGGTTGGAGTCACTAAAACTCGTTTTTCAACCACTCCACAAATTTCTTGTTAACAAACTATAGTTTTGTCAAGTCGGTTAGGACATCTACTTTGTGCATGACACAAGTAATTTTTCCAACAATTGTTTACAGACAGATTATTTCACTTATAATTCACTGTATCACAATTCCAGTGGGTCAGAAGTTTACATACACTAAGTTGACTGTTCCTTTAAACAGCTTGGAAAATTCCAGAAACTGATGTCATGGCTTTAGAAGCTTCTGATAGGCTAATTTACATAATTTGTGTCAATTGGAGGTGTACCTGTGGATGTATTTCAAGGCCTACCTTCAACCTCAGTGCCTCTTTGCTTGACATCATGGGAAAATCAAAAGGAATCAGCCAAGACCTCAGAAAAATATTTGTAGACCTCCACAAGTCTGGTTCATCCTTGGGAGCAATTTCCAAACGCCTGAAGGTACAATGTTCATCTGTACAAACAATAGTACGCAAGTATAAACACCATGGGACCACACAGCCGTCATACCGCTGAGGAAGGAGACGCGTTCTGTCTCCTAGAGATTAATGTACTTTGGTGCGAAAAGTGCAAATCAATCCCAGAACAACAGCAAAGGACCTTGTGAAGATGCTGGAGGAAACAGGTACAAAAGTATCTATATCCACAGTAAATGAGTCCTATATCGACATAACCTGAAAGGCCGCTCAGGAAGGAAGAAGCCACTGCTCCAAAACCGCCATTAAAAAGACAGACTACAGTTTGCAACTGCACATGGGGACAAAGATCGTACTTTTTGGAGAAATGTCCTCTGGTCTGATGAAACAAAAATAGCATCATGCTGTGGGGGTGCTTTGCTGCAGGAGGGACTGGTGCACTTCACAAAATAGATGGCATCATGAGGATGGAAAATTATGTGGCTATATTGAAGCAACATCTCAAGACATCAGTCAGGAAGGTAAAGCTTGGTCGCAAATGGGTCTTCCAAATGGACAATGACCCCAAGCATACTTCCAAAGTTGTGGCAAAATGGCTTAAGGACAACAATGTCAAGGTATTGGAGTGGCCATTACAAAGCCCTGACCTCAATCCTATAGAAAATGTGTGGGCAGAACTGAAAAAGCGTGTGCGAGCAAGGATGCCGACAAACCTAACTCAGTTACCCCAGCTCTGTCAGGAGGAATGGGCCGAAATTCACCCAACTTATTGTGGGAAGCTTGTGGAAGGCTACCCGAAACATTTGACCCAAGTTAAACAATTTAAAGGCAATGCTACCAAATACTAATTGAGTGTATGTAAACTTCTGACCCACTGGGAATGTGATGAAAGAAATAAAAGCTGAAATAAATAATTCTCTCTACTATTATTCTGACATTTCACATTCTTAAAATAAAGTGGTGATCCTAACTGACCTAAGACAGGGGATTTTTACATTTTAGTCATTTAGCATACGCTCTTATCCAGAGCGACTTACAGTTAGTGCGTGCATACATTTTTTCATACTAGGATTAAATGTCAGGAATTGTGAAAAACTGAGTTTAAATGTATTTGGCTAAGGTGTATGTAAACTTCCGACTTCAACTGTAGCATAGGCTACAGTAATGACTGATACCAACAGTAAAAAAAAACATCCAGTGTTTGCTCAATATGTTTAGAGTGTTGACAGTCAACATTATTGTAATCGGTTTCAACAAGTATAGGCCTTTTGTCATCGCACTTCTCCTCAAATAAAAACTACTAGGCTCCCGTAAATTGTATAGTATGTGTGAGGCACATTCTCAATAAGCAAGACATAGCCTAGGCCTACCGTTGATACTGCATTATAGGACTGAATCATTTCAATAAGTTTGGAGGAGCGCATGTTTGGTAACCGGAAAAGAGTCAGGGAATGGGGAAGGATACAAGCCGAATGGAGTACTGCAGGTAGTACTGTGAATAATTCAAAAGCATGTCGCCTTTCATGGATAGACTACTTCTAATGCATGGCCAGGATAAGAAAGATGCTGTTAAACCAGCTTTCGTTATAGTAACGTAAGGGTATCCTACTAAGAGTTTTTTTTTTTATATCAAAGGAAATGGAAAACAAGCTACAGGTTACAGGAAAATACATGTTTCTAAATATGAGTGTCACCGGATAATCTCATCTCTCCTTCCATGATGGGCATATAGCCTACATGGAGGGGGTTTTAAGCACATCCAAAATAATAACAGGAGCTGGCCCAAAAATTTTTATAGCCTACATAGATAAAAAGGGGATGTCCTCACTGTTTTGCTGCTGCTGCCAAACTTGATCTTTTAATAAAGTTTTGGTGATTAAGATTTATTTCAAAGTGGTCTCACGAGCCAAACCCTTTTTCGATAGTTCTGACTACTTGGCGAATGCGTTGGTCAGGACAAAAAAACAGACTTAATTGAGAGGAAGGGATGCTTGGTTTTTAATCAAATGAAACTGGATTTTTTTTATCTTGTTCCATGTGCATATGGGCATTGTGTGTAACGGCTGGATAGGCTGCGCTTCCATTGTCAAAATCCATGACATAACCAACCTCGTTACAGCTAAGACCAGTTTTCGGTTGGTTTTAAATATCCCCAGATATTGCCACCCCTCCCACGCAAGCGAGCTCATATAAAATGGATTGCACGTTTCTTCACAATATTGTTCTGAACATTCATTTTAGGACTGATGCCAGACTGAGCATTCTACTCAATGCATTGTCAATTGGCACTGATGACGATATTAAAAGTGCATTAGAGTGGCTTTGAAATACAATTACATTTATAAAGGAGGCAAATAATTCTTGGAAAACCTTTTGTCATAATTTTGATGTCGCCAGATTGACTTTAGATGCAGTATAAACGTTAGCTAGCTACAGTGAGGGAAAAAAGTATTTGATCCCCTGCTGATTTTGTACATTTGCCCACTGACAAACACATGATCAGTCTATAATTTTAATGGTAGGTTTATTTGAACAGTGAGAGACAGAATAACAACAACAAAATCCAGAAAAACACATGTCAAAAATGTTATAAATTGATTTGCATTTTAATGAGGGAAATAAGTATTTGACCCCTTTGCAAAACATGACTTAGTACTTGGTGGCAAAACCCTTGTTGGCAATCACAGAGGTCAGATGTTTCTTGTAGTTGGCCACCAGGTTTGCACACATCTCAGGAGGGATTTTGTCCCACTCCTCTATGCAGATCTTCTCTAAGTTATTAAGGTTTCGAGGCTGACGTTTGGCAACTTGAACCTTCAGCTCCCTCCACTGATTTTTTTATGGGATTAAGGTCTGGAGACTGGCTAGGCCACTCCAGGACCTTAATGTGCTTCTTCTTGAGCCACTCCTTTGTTGCCTTGGCCGTGTGTTTTGGGTCATTGTCATGCTGGAATACCCATCCACGACCCATTTTCAATGCCCTGGCTGAGGGAAGGATGCCAAAGAGCTCGATTTTGGTCTCATCTGACCACAACACTTTCATCCAGTTCTCCTCTGAATCATTCAGATGTTCATTGGCAAACTTCAGACAGGCCTGTATATGTGCTTTCTTGAGCAGGGGGAACTTGCGGGTGCTGCAGGATTTCAGTCCTTCACGGCGTAGTGTGTTACCAATTGTTTTCTTGGTGACTATGGTCCCAGCTGCCTTGAGATCATTGACAAGATCCTCCCGTGTAGTTCTGGGCTTATTCCTCACCGTTCTCATGATCATTGCAACTCCACGAGGTGAGATCTTGCATGGAGCCCCAGGCCGAGGGAGATTGACAGTTCTTTTGTTCTTCTTCCATTTGCGAATAATCGCACCAACTGTTGTCACCTTCTCACCAAGCTGCTTGGCGATGGTCTTGTAGCCCATTCCAGCCTTGTGTAGGTCTACAATCTTGTCCCTGACATCCTTGGAGAGCTCTTTGTTCTTGGCCATGGTGGAGAGTTTGGAATCTGATTGATTGATTGCTTCTGTGGAAAGGTGTCTTTTATACAGGTAACAAACTGAGATTAGGAGCACTCCCTTTAAGAGTGTGCTCCTAATCACAGCTCGTTACCTGTATAAAAGACACCTGGGAGCCAGAAATCTTTCTGATTGAGAGGGGGTCAAATACTTATTTCCCTCAATAAAATGCAAATCAATTTATAACATTTTTGACATGCGTTTTTCTGGATTTTTTTGTTGTCATTCTGTCTCTCACTGTTCAAATAAACCTACCATTAAAATTATAGACTGATCATTTCATTGTCAGTGGGCAAACGTACAAAATCAGCAGGGGATCAAATACTTTTTTCCCCTCACTGTATCTAGCTAAGATTGAGTGGAGACCACCGGATTTTAGCTAGCCAATGTTAGCATTGCTAGCTTTTCTTAATTTTTTTAAACAAATTTTGCTAGCTAATGACAATATTGCCACCTGTCTAAAGTAAATTTTACGACATGATAATGATAGCAAACTTTTTTTCTACTAAATACTTGCCTACTTTAGCAATGTCATCATATTTCCAGGCTGCTATAGTGCAATTTAGGCGAAATAGTCATTAGCCGCTGTTCAAAATGACTGGCCTTATCATGACTTTTGGGCACCACTATGGCGGAGAGCGGCTTGAGAATGTTCATAACAATGGTGCTTTGTAGCGCAGTTGGTAGAGCATGGGACTTGTAACGCCAGGGTAGTGGGTTCGATTCCCGGGACCACCCATACGTAAAATGTATGCACGCATGACTGTAAGTCACGCCCTGAGTGGCAGCTCTTCTCCCCAGGCTCCTGACAGCTCTGTGGAGAACCATGATGGATGAGCGCATTCCATCACTCACCCTCACCTCTGACCACAGCCAGTGTGTGTGTGAGGGCTACTCTGCTCTCCTCTAACCTCACTCACAGTGTGACAAGCTGGAATTAAGCCATCACAGCACCAGAGGGGAGAAGCGATGGTCGGAACGAAGTCAGAAGATAATACTTTTTCCTTATCTTGTCTTCAGGAACAGGGCTGACATTGTTGTAAGATGAAAGTGTTTTGAAGGCCCACCTTGCATGTCATATGTGCCATTAGAGGGAACCTCAGCACTTACCTTGTGAAAAGATCTAATAAGCCCCTTGAAAGTTTGTTTTGTGACACTTTATATGAGGAGTTGTGGCAACAACTTCCCTTTTGATGTCAGTGGAGCTGTCAGCGCTGTCTGATCAATGTGGCATTTCATTTACCAACTTCTGCCTACTCCGTATTACTACTGCGCTGAGCAGATCACTTCATCTTATGAGGCTACCACATCCTTTAAGTCTAGCCCTTTACTTTACTCTGTGTGTGCGCGCGCACGTATGCAGTTTTTAAATCCATCTATGCTACATTTCTCTCACTTATTTTAATCAAAAGCATCTTCAATTCAATAGCCAGCATTAGAGACAACAGACATGGGTGCAGGTGAGTAGACATTACCAAGTATACACTACTGAGTTTACAGTTCTTAGTATACAGTACTTAGTTAAGACCTTTAAATTACTTAGTTTAAAGGCTGTATGCACGTCTTACAGTGAACCTACTATATGTGTATTGTCCGGTGTCTGCTGTGATCTTGTATGAAACACTGGACTAACTCTGCCTGAATTCAAAGCCAATCACTTCTAGCCCTTGACTGCTGCATGTTGCAACTGTTTCCCTCGTCAAATGCTGCTTCACCCTATGGCAATAATAGCCACTAGCCTACCTAAATAAAATATGGATTAAATATATATTTAAATATCGATAAAATATAGACTTCAGTTTTACAAAAAGGGGAATCTTGGTCCTAGTGACTTCTACCCCGTACATGAGAGACATCTAGTATGATGTCGGATTAAATAAAGGATAAATAAAATGTATTACATATATTTTTTACATCTCGTGCACACTAAGAACCGTGTAAACTGAGTAGCGAATACTTAGTAATGTCTACTCACTGCACTCATGAGAGAGTCCAGTACGCTAACAGCGAAGGCGGTTCCGCAGGCGAAGGGCTGTGTCAGGTACAGCTCCGTGTCCGGGTCATCGTCATCATCTTGGTCCAGGAACTGAACGTTGGAGTCGTTCACTGAGAGAGGGGAGACCCAAAACACAGTCAGAGAGAGAGAGAGGGCAAGGAGGGCACCGCACAGCACACCAAACACCCACCCACACACACACACCAACACACCTGAGGACCAGAGAAGTAGAGAATCACTGGGTGACTTAGCTAGGGCACTTTTTTGTTGGTGAACTGTGAAGCGTTGTTTGATTTTAGACTGTTTTTGTGACCCATTGATTCAATATGAGCCAATATTCCAAGTTGGGATACAGTGTTAATGTTTCTAGTCAACACCCAGTCTTAGGCACTGACCGGAACAGAATAATTCACTACATTAGAGTCCTTCTATGACTCAATAGCATATATTCTCACAGGTCTCACGTCTCAGGTCTGGAGGTATAGAATAGATAGTGGTGTTTGAACCAAAGCGTTATGGATTTGGCATTCATGGTAGATGCACAGTACATTCCGTCATGAACAAACCATTTCTGTAGTTTGTATTGCATTCAGGACATGGATTTTACCTAGGTGTGTGAAACACCTCAATCCACCATATTGTGGTTTTTATATTCAAGATGATATTGTGCATGTTCAGGTGAGAAGATCATGCACGTAATGTAACATGCATTTTAGAGCTTCATTGATATCTCAGATAAGAAAATGTGTGGTCACATCGTCACCTATTGAGATATTGAGGTAATTACCTTTTCCTGAAAGTCAAATGATTATTTAAAACAACAATAATAACATAGGGCTGTGGGGTAAATTCACAGCCTGCATTTAAAGATCGAACTAATACGACATTCTGAAATTGTTAATGATGAAAAAAGTTCAAATCATAACATGGCCAGGGTTGAAAAATCTCTTTCTATACTGTATAGAATATTGCTAACCAGAGGAAAAGAACAAGATGAAACCATATAAAAACAAACTTATTCTTAACCATTTGTAAAGATGACTTTTCCTAGTAGAACAGTCTGTCTTTATTTAGCCTCAGATGAGAGGATTCTCTTTCTAGCGCCAGTGGACAAGACCCTGAGATCCAACTGCATTTGAAAAGTGCTTCACACAAAACAAGCCTTTCTTTGACTCCTTCAACATCTAGGCTTTAGGTTAAAAAAAATAAAAAATAAAAAGCAACAACCCCAAAAATAAATAAAAATAAACATCTTAAAGGGAAGGTTTGATCTATAGTTTTTAGTGTTTTGAAATATGATTTCTTCCCAGGCTTCCTCTGTGCTGCGGAGGAACAGACATGTCAGTCAACCAGACAAGGGGGCTGGTGATGCAAACGGGCCCGGGCCAAAGAGACTGAACCGGGGGGTGGTAGGGTGTTGAGGGAGGGGTTGGGGTCGGGAGTGGGGTGTGTGCTATGAAAACAGCCACAAGGACATACCGAGCAATGATGAAAGTGCCAGAACGATGCTCGGAAAAACGAAATGGAAAAAAATCTAAACACCACGGAAAAAAATCATTAAATAAAAAAAGGCCAAAACAAGACAGTCCATTTTCAACCAGAAACCGAGAATAAAAAAAATAAAAAATGTGTTCAAAGTGAAGCCATGGGAGCAGCCAGCGAGGACCTCGGCTGCAGCCAGATACATCAAGACAAGATGATAGCGAGAGAGAGAGAGAGAGAGAGAGAGAGAGAGAGAGAGAGAGAGAGAGAGAGAGAGAGAGAGAGGAGAGAGAGAGAGAGAGAGAGAGAGAGAACAAATAAACGAAAGATTGGACGGCAGCGAGCGGAGGACAAAAGCCTGGCTTACCCAGCTCAGTTATCATTTGTATGTTGATTCCACAGTTTTTTTCCTGACTGAATGAAACCAAAGGCAATATTTTGCCAGGTTTAGCTAATGAAGGTAAGACGGTGTGGAGAGCAGAGGGGGGAGAGATAGGGTCGTTATGGGAACAGCTTCAAAGAGAAGAGAAAAAGAAAGGCAGTTCTGTCTGAGACCACGCATCATGTCAACCACAGGATTAGACACTGACTGTATGTAAAGGTAGCCATGGTTGTCCATGACATACAACTACAGCACCAGAGATTAAAGTACGTAGCCCGGATGCGACTGAACCATACCACTAAAACATGAATTGCCAATTTGTACGGCTTTTAAGACACCAAAGGGATTTACAATGTTGTATACATAAACCAACTTTATGTGACTCCATCAAATTGATCTGGCAATTCAGCCAGCTTCTTAACATTTTCCATTAGACTTGCATCTTGACTATGGTGCTGTAAACTGACAACATTGACACTACAATTATAGTGTATAGTTGTGCCTCACTTCACTCTCTTTCTACTCTCAGAGAGGAGGAGGACAATGTTAGTGATGCTAGTACTATCTACATACATAATAACCAGGGCCTAACAGAATATGCGGGGTTAGAATTATTCTAAATCAAACATAGCTGAAATTATTCTAAATCAAACGTACCTGTGGAATTAATTCATATCCAACCAAATACTGCAAGGAAAAAACCTGAATAGCTACACTTGTTATGTTGATTATATATGTAGTACTAAAGAGTGTAAAGAGAGAAAGGTGAGAAAACGTTCATGCTGCTTCATGTCCCTGTTTCTCTCCCTGTCTCTATCTCTATCTGTGCCTCCATCCATCTCTTAGTCTCCTCACGCCTCAATGCTTTCTAATTGGGTCAGAGGGGAGAGATAGAGACAGAGTGGCTAGTCTCTAGTGCTTTAGTCAGGGGTGATAGAGTGGCTCTAGTGTCCCTGGTCTCTGGTGCTTTAGAAGCCCTCAGAGATGTGAAACTTTCATGAGTCCCCTGGACCACAGGGAATACTAGAGAATATAGACAGCGCCATTGTTATTATTAAATGGACCCATTTTGCTACCGTGGCACTTTTTTAGCTTCCTCTTGCACTCTCTTTTTGCCCTCTCCCTCTCCATCAGGCTGTTAATGGACAAATGGTACATAGAAGAAGTGAGAGTGTTCTGACTTCGTAACGAGACATCTCGGCTAGAATTTACTGAAAGAGGGTGACATTTGAAATGACAACAAATGCTCAGTTTTGTATCTAAATCCATCAAATCTCAGCCAAAGTCACTAATCGTTAATCTTTATCATCAACATATCGCTAGAATTAGTCATCACAGCCATAGAAAATAAAGAGTTCGGCCAACTACCGTCCACATTGGCATCAAACATTCCACAACAAAAACATTCAAACCTGCATTCTAACCAGAACGCAAATGAATGTCCAACAAACTGTTGGAGCCAACATGGCGGTTCTGAAGATTCTAAATCTCTAAGTGAGTTGGCCAAACTCTGTGTACAATGTAACAATATTTTCCCAACAGGCAAATGACATCACAACAACCAGAAAGTGGTTGAAATGACATCATTATGACATCGTTTCGACGTGTTTTGCCCGCTGGGATCTATCAGTAGTAAATGGTCTGTTGTGTGTCTCACCTAGTTCAGTGATGATGGGGATGTTGACGCCGGTGGTGACGGAGGCCTGGCGTACTAAACCATGTACTGGACTGCTGTCTGGAGATGACCGGTCCATTCCAGGAGGCGTGAAACCTACACAGAGCACACAGAAGGATACACACAAAACCATTGAAACTAACAGCAAGAGCTAGATACACACAAAACAAGATGTACTGAAACCTACATCAAACAGAAAGAGTTTAATTTATACACAGACTGACACAAAACCATGAGATATTATATTGTTGAAACCTATGGCACAGAGAAACAACAATACAGATGGATACAAGTCCATGAGATGTAATATTACAGCACAGAGAGAAACACAAAACCCTGATATATAATTTCACAAATCATATACCTCAGGTTCGGTGATTGAGAAGGTTATATGTAATTTTGTCAAAAAACTAAACTATAATCGAAAAAAAAAACTATAAAACATAAAAATGAAAAAGTATGTTGATCGATCATACACAGTCAGTGTCTGTCAAATGTCACTATAACTTAGTAACACTAGACTATTCAGTAAAAGCTGCTGGGATTACTGACTGAGATGGGCTCTTTGTATTGTTCAGAAGTGCAGATTGAATGATGCGTAGACAGGGATGGGGAAAATGAAGCAGGCGCTTCCTAAAAATGTCAACATGGATATTGTGCTTTTAGGGGTCAGCTGAGAGACATATTTAGCATTCTCATCCTTCCATCAACCTGCCTGCCTTCCATACATTTTATATGTGCTTCATTTTGTTACCATAAAATTGGCGAAGTGGATCCTGAAAACCTTTTATCAGGAACATTCTCGACCATGAAATACAAGAGGCGAGTGATGGGTATGAATTCACATGACTTCACATTTTTGCATTTCCTCAACGCCTTAAATCAGTAATGCTTGATACATAATGCATGGCCTGTGTTGTGACATCCATCATTTAGTGCTGACTGAAGCAAAACGCCACCTCATAGTTCTACAGCACAGCAGCGACAAAACATAATGGGAATATATTCAGGTCACAAAGTTTTAAAAGGATTGCAAATGCTAGACATTGGAGAGTAGTTGGAGGATGGGGGGGGGGGGGGGGGGGGGGGGGTTGTCATTTTCTGGCAGGAACCTGAGGGGCTGCTTTACAGTACAGAATAGATCTTCTCACCCTCCTCACCCCCCACACTACAGAGGACACACCAACAGTTCAGCATTCATCACAAACTAGAGGCTAAACTGAATAATCCACACTCTTGTTACACCAATTACTGAAACTGGGGATAGGCAAGGTTTGTAGCAGTCAGAGACTGGAAGCTCACTCACGAGTATGCTTCATTTTGTTAATATCTATAAAATATGACATTTATATCTCCAGAGAACCACAACTGGGTTTTGAATATTGACTCTAAAAAAACATTATTCTTACATGATCACAGTATACAAGAAGTCAAGTATACAGTATCCAATTGTGAAAGTACTAACAATGGATAAAGTGAATACATCTGAAAATGAGATTTTCCAACAGAGAGGGCAACATGTCAAAATCAGTTGGGCTGCAAATGACCAAAAGTTAGATGGAGAAAAGTGGAGAGTTCTACACAGATCATTGATTCATTATAATGGTTTGACTGCATTTGGCACGCAATCCTCTAGACTTCTAATACTTACAAACAAGAGGGAAATTGATTTACAGCTTCCATACCATACAGTAGCAAATGCAAGGGCCACCCACCCCTCTCAGCCCCCAGGCACAACTTAGCTCTGCGGTCTACAGACTACATCGTACCGTAGACCGCAGCCATGTGAATGTCTCCCTAGTAATACAACTCTTGACTTATTCATGTACACCTTCTTGCTTTAAATTTCACACCTCACATCTGAACAGGATATTCTCTGGGAGGAAGGAATCCGCAAAGCAATACACTATGATATAGTACACCTGCGCGTGTGTGCATGTGCACTCTTAAACTGAAACATTTATCAGTGGAATGGATCCAGATGATATAAGACAAACTCATTGATAACAATAGGCTTCATCAATCGACCACTGTGATAGGCCATTGGTTCCCAACCTTTTTTGGTCACTGTACCACCAACTTAATTTTGCTCTGCCCGGAGCACCCCTGGAGCACCCCTGGAGCACCCCCTCGTGCATTTTTACGAGTAAGCCTATGGTCTCAGGAGTCTTATCAAGTACCCCCCTGTGGATAAGCCAAGTACCCCCAGGGGTCCTTGTACCCCTGGTTGGGAACCACTGGTGTAGGCCCTCCATGTCTGTGAATACTGCTCCCATGAGTAACAGAGACCTCCGATTTAGTCTGCTCATTGTGACGACAGCACATCACTCACTCAGACCAGGAGAAATAACTGCATTGACATTCTCCTAAATCATGTGAAAGTGCTTGGCACATTTTCTTTGAAGTTTGTTGGTCCATAAGATTCAGTCTCTCCAGGATTTTCTGATCGCAAAATGTTTTTCCTTCTCAACAATTCCCCTCCTATTATGCGATGGTTTACAAAGTTGACCAATCACTGCGCTACTACCGCATAAAACAGTCACTGCACTAAAAAAAGAGGGCTCGCAATTTTAACCAATCACCGCACTTTTACAAGATAAAACAGTTCAGTGAAGCCAGTGAATACACTTTTTCACAATCAGCACATTTTCATGACAAATTGGGATAGAATTATTGCAAATCGCCATACAAAATGTCAGAATTGAAGCAGCAAAATCAAGCATTTCTTCCCACAAGTATGACAATAAATGCTGCAGGATCCTGGAGGGACTGATTATTAGAATAATGGAGGAGGTACAGGGTGGACTGTCATGAAGAACAGCTGAAGAAGGCTGTCTGGTGATTAGTACTGGCTGGTTAAATATGATGAGACCTGATGGGACATGAGGCTTATCTGTTTGTCTGAACGCATCAACAATCTGTTCCACTCAGTCTGCCAGACATAGATACAGTAACAACAGTGATGTGGTTTCACATCATTCAAGGATATTATTTAGGAGGTTGAACACCACTTTCCATTTTATTTACCATGTTTATATACCATGCTGAAAAAAGGTACTGATTTAAGTGGTAAAATGATCCTCTCCTCTCCCTTCTCTCTTACCCTCTCCTCTACCCTGCAGCCAGAACAGTATTGTATCTTGTAGGCCAGTCAGTCCTTACCTTGGGAGTTAGCCTGCAAGAGCCCGATGCTGTCGTCAAACTGCATAGACTTGATGTTGAGCGACGCCAGAATGCATTCCTTATCCTGCAGCGAGGCGTCGTCGATATTGTTCTGATTGGCCGACAGTATCACGCACATGTCGCAGAGGTTGATGTTGACAGCCCTTAAATCTGCACGACTTAATGGCGTACCCTTCAGGCGCGGTGAAGAAAAGAGACGGACAGAGAGAGAGAAGAGAGAGAAGAAGGGGGAGAGAAAAACTAATTAGAGACTAAGTGAGGGGTGCTTTGGGAGATTAGATAACAAGTATTGTAGTTTTAGCGGCAGTGACATTCAGCTGATCTAACTGGGCACTGGGGAATCAGAGACGTGGACTAATCTAAAGGGTAGTGGGCGCTGAAGGCTAACAGCCTTGGTTTCTTAGGGCTCTCTGATACTCAGTCAAGGCAGAAGTAACAAGCTCTAAAGCAGGCAGCCATGCCAGAGTTTCACATCTGAAATGGCCAAGAAAGGGCAGCTGCAGTGCATTTAAAACTCTGTATGAATAGGCAGGATTCACTGCTTTGAATTGATGGAAGATTGAATTCAGGACCGGTTGTGGAATTGACAAGAACAGCCACAACAACACCAACTAACAACCACAACAAATCACAAATAAATCTACAAAGGGAATACTATAACACTAATTAATGCTATACTGCTATTACTGATATTACTGCTTTATCACTGCTCACAGTCATTTTACCCTTCACCTTAGATTGTTTCCATTCGGACAGTGCGAGGCAACAAAGGGAAGAGATCTCATAAGTCAACTGAGAAAATACAAGTCAACTGTCTCAAAATAACAACGGTACAGCTGGGTTTTCGTATTGAATCCTGGAGCGTTATTAGACTGGTCTACTCACAGAGAGTACTGATATTGATGACATTCTATAGTATGGTACTGTAAGTTCATTATGTTGTCAGTTGTATAACTTTGGCTTGTAACCGTACATATTACAGTGGTACTCACAGGTAGTATGGAGACCTTGGGGAAGTTGTGTAGAGTTTCCCACTCTCTCCTCAGGTACTCCAGCGAGCCCACAAACACTATGGGCTTCAGCTCGTGATAATGGAAGTTGCTGGCTCTCAAAGGCATCACCAAGTTTCGCAGCCCCACTAGAGCGGACGTGACATCTCCAAATATACAGACCACTACATGGCCGCTCAACACCGTCATGGATGCCTCACTCCGGGTCTGAGTAGGGAGAGAGGGAGAGAGAGAGGGGAGAGAGGGGGAGAGAGAAAGAGTGAGAGGAGGGAGAGAGACATGGAGACAGAGAGAGAATATTGGGGTGCGTGAGAGCGAGAGAGAATAATGGGGCGAGAGAGAGGGAATGAGAGTGAGAAAGAAAGAAAGAAAGAAAGAAAGAAAGAAAGAAAGAAAGAAAGAAAGAAAGAAAGAAAGAAAGAAAGAAAAAAAGAGGACAAACACATAGCAGTCAGAAAACAGAGAGAGGCAGAGTGCAGTCCCACCCTTTGAGGTGTTAGACTCAAGGTAAACCCAGCACAGTTCAATGCAGTTGATACACTACATGGTCAAGGAGTAAGGTGTATAAAACTGCTTTTCAAAGCCATGCTTGTGGTGGTTTTATACTATGACCCAGTACATAGAAAACAGTCGACTCACCTTGTAACAACAGAGAGGCATTGAGAGAAATGTGGATATACATTATTAGTATGTGGTTGTTACTGTTATGCGAGGGAAACTGTTTCTTTAGAGCCTACTGTACCTCAACAATACTTCATTTTTGGCCCAATAGGTGCAAATAACGTCCAACTCCATTAGAATAGTTATCATACTACGCATCTAAAAACAGTGTAAACATGTACATGATTGGAAAAAGTGTAAGATCATCAAACTGTACAACTGAAAATCATCTTCGGAGTCACACGTACTGTAGGACAACACCTACCATATCTGTTGATGGGTAGGTACTGTATCCCTGCACAGGATGTTAATAACTGTGGTTAAACTCAGTTAACTCTACAGTAGGGTTGTCATGATACCAGTATCACAATACTATGATCCTCGATTATCCATGGCAAAAAGGAAAACACAAGGCAGTCTAAACTCTTCAAAAACCTGCTTTTGGTCAAATATTGTGTTCTATAGCTTGGAAAAGAAACAAATGTAACTGTGGGTGACAACATAAGGCTGTTAGTTTTTTTGTTCTCAACATCAGGACGGTTTTCCTCAAGAAATTAAGTCTGCTTCATGTTTTGTTTGCTTGCCATGCTACTTCCGAGTATCGCGATACTGGTGTCATGACAACACTACAGGGAGACAGAAAACCACTCACCAGGATGACCTTCTCAATCTCTTTAGACGGGCACCAGTGGAACATTCCCGTGGAGTCATACTGCTTCACATTCATGTCCATGTTCTCGATCTGCTCGTTCCCAGGGATTAGTAGAGGGTCATGCCTGCTGAGGGTACACAACACAACAGTATGAGCTCACCATGGTTACAGTTGATGGTATTTGGTTTATATGTGTTGTATTATTACCTAGGTTTGGTTGAAACCTAAAACCACCACTCACTATCACTTTTCTGCACTAACCCAAGATGACACAGCTACCCAGTCATCAGAGTTGCTGAGGGATATTGGTAGCAGCATTGGGGAGAGAGCAAGGGCTGAGTTTCCACTGTGTCACTTGCTGAGCGATTAACCAACATTTCTGATATTTTTTGTTTTTTAAACAACTAATTGACACATCGGTTCAATTATTTGAATTCCATTTCGTTCCGTTTTTTTTCTGTGAGGTCTATGCGCACATTGCAGTTTCTCTAGAGATTAATCAGATCCAGCCTGAACTGTGCAATGTAGTAGGGAGTTGTAGTTTCCATCAGGCCAATATTCTAGATAGTTTAACGCATAAAACATGGTAATTAACTACAATGACCATAATCCATTGTGAATCTGGTCTGTGTTTCTTTTACACCTGATACGGAAAATACAGGAGAATGCTCTATTGTGAGGGGATATAGAGAGCAGCTGTTGCTTCACGGGGTATCTCTACCTGAAAACACATGATCTATGTGATTGATAGTTGGTATTCAGCAGTATGTCTTATCTACTTTGAAGAACTACAAAATTGTGATTTTGTCAGACAGCATAGGCAGCAGCTCTATAGAGATGAGATGATGACAACGGAAATATTTTATTGAAGTAAAGTAACGTGACTAAATGATGGTTAATAAGTGTTAAGCAGTCATGGGCAGTCACTACCATCATGGGACTTTTATTAATTGGTTTATTCTGTAATAATCGAAAAACAGTTATTTTTTAATTATCGAACCGAAACCGACCTCAAAAAGCACAAATCGCTCAGCATTAGTCACCGCTGACAAAGATGACAAAGGTATTAGAATGGAGCGTCAATTACCGGCTTTTAGCTCCGTCCTGCTCGCTCACGACGCAGCGCTACCAACAGTAAAAGCTCTAACAGGACCGCACTTTAAATATTTCAGGAATTTGCCCAATCACATTTTGCGTTCCCAACTGAAGGCCATGAATGATTCATCAGCAGCGTGTCACCTCCAAACTGGCTGATGCACAGTGACAGGCCACTGAGTTTATCAGGTGTAACGTTAACACTGACCATGGAAGAGTGGGGGGGTCCCGTCACTCTGGTAATATTGGTTCCACTGTGTTTGTACTCATTCTACAAGACATGATCTGGGATGTCCTCTGAAAGGGTTTCCAATACAGACAATTGGCGAGCGAAGCTCCTTCTCTGAATGCGATATCGCGGGCTCATTCTGACTGAATATAAAAGGAAGGATTTTGATTGGTGTGTAGGCATTTTTATTCTATCCCGGCACCAACACACCTGATTCAACTAAGCAATGGCTTGGTGACCTAGGCTGCTTACAGTAATTAAATCAGCCGTGTTAGTGCTGTGATAGAACAAAAATGTGCACCCCATGGGGGTCCCCGAGGACTGGATTGAGAAACACTGGGTCAGAGAGTGTAGCTTTGAGCTGATAGCCAGGGGCCAGACTACAAAGGCTTCTGTCTGTCTAGTGTCTACCATGTGGCTACAGGGAAATAGCTCTCTCTCTGTCAGTATCACCTCAAAAACCCTTACATGTTCACAAAGCCATCGTCTGCAAAGCACACAAGAACAAGTTAGAACACTAAGGATGTCCTGAAAACGCTAAAATTAATATTAACTCTATATTTACAAAACAGGCAAATAATGCCTATGTCTTACAGTATATCTGGGCCGTTCCACCAATTGAGTACCTTTTGGGTATTGTAACTTGGTAAAAAATATATATACAGTGAGGGAAAAAAGTATTTGATCCCCTGCTGATTTTGTACGTTTTGCCCACTGACAAAGACATGATCAGTCTATAATTTTAATGGTAGGTTTATTTGAACAGTGAGAGACAGAATAACAACAAAATAATCCAGAAAAACGCATGTCAAAAATGTTATAAATTGATTTGCATTTTAATGAGAGGAAATAAGTATTTGACCCCTCTGCAAAACATGACTTAATACTTGGTGGCAAAACCCTTGTTGGCAATCACAGAGGTCAGACGTTTCTTGTAGTTGGCCACCAGGTTTGCACACATCTCAGGAGGGATTTTGTCCCACTCCTCTTTGCAGATCTTCTCCGTCATTAAGGTTTCGAGGCTGACGTTTGGCAACTTGAACCTTCAGCTCCCTCCACAGATTTTCTATGGGATTAAGGTCTGGAGACTGGCTAGGCCACTCCAGGACCTTAATGTGCTTCTTCTTGAGCCACTCCTTTGTTGCCTTGGCCGTGTGTTTTGGGTCATTGTCATGCTGGAATACCCATCCACGACCCATTTTCAATGCCCTGGCTGAGGGAAGGAGGTTCTCACCCAAGATTTGACGGTACATGGCCCCGTCCATCGTCCCTTTGATGCGGTGAAGTTGTCCTGTCCCCTTAGCAGAAAAACACCCCCAAAGCATAATGTTTCCACCTCCATGTTTGGCGGTGGGGATGGTGTTCTTGGGGTCATAGGCAGCATTCCTCCTCCTCCAAACACGGCGAGTTGAGTTGATGCTCATCTGAACACTTTCACCCAGTTCTCCTCTGAATCATTCAGATGTTCATTGGCAAACTTCAGACGGGCCTGTATATGTGCTTTCTTGAGCAGGGGGACCTTGCGGGCGCTGCAGGATTTCAGTCCATCACGGCGTAGTGTGTTACCAATTGTTTTCTTGTTGACTATGGTCCCAGCTGCCTTGAGATCATTGACAAGATCCTCCTGTGTAGTTCTGAGCTGATTCCTCGCCGTTCTCATGATCATTGCAACTCCACGAGGTGAGCTCTTGCATGGAGCCCCAGGCCGAGGGAGATTGACAGTTCTTTTGTGTTTCTTCCATTTGCGAATAATCGCACCAACTGTTGTCACCTTCTCACCAAGCTGCTTGGTGATGGTCTTGTAACCCATTCCAGCCTTGTGTAGGTCTACAATCTTGTCCCTGACATCCTTGGAGAGCTCTTTGGTCTTGGCCATGGTGGAGAGTTTGGAATCTGATTGATTGATTGATTGCTTCTGTGGACAGGTGTATTTTATACAGGTAACAAACTGAGATTAGGAGCACTCCCTTTAAGAGTGCTCCTAATCTCAGCTCGTTACCTGTATAAAAGACACCTGGGAGCCAGAAGTCTTTCTGATTGAGAGGGGGTCAAATACTTATTTCCCTCATTAAAATGCAAATCAATTTATAACATTTTTTACATGCGTTTTTCTGGATTTTTTTGTTGTTATTCTGTCTCTCACTGTTCAAATAAACCTACCATTAAAATTATAGACTGATCATTTCTTTGTCAGTGGGCAAACGTACAAAATCAGCAGGGGATCAAATACTTTATTCCCCTCACTGTATATATTTCACCTAATTTTAACATTCTGTCATGAAGAGCACATGTTCAACTTAATAAAATCTGCTCAGTTTTCCACCACAAAACACCAGACAATTGCACAATTAAATAATAATAATACATAATAATCTTCATAAATGACTTTGTCAAAGCTACAAAATAACTAGGGCTTCATAATGATGGTGAAAACTTGGAGAAATGTTTGTGTTAAGTGGGTTAAAATCTTCCTAGAAGTCACATAGGGTGCATGAAGGGACATGTCAAAATGCTGAATTTTGGCACTTAAGCAAGTTTTTACTTATATTAAAAATCTGATTTATTGAATTTTATATGTGGTCTATATTAAAGGGCATTCATTTAATATAACATGCTTTTAAAATGAAATGTTGGTGCACAATTTCTACTTAAAATATCAAAGAGACGCAAAAAGCACTCTTTATGAGGGTGACATTGGCATAAAGTGTGAGAAAACATCACGGGACATACAGCACATTTCCTCAATCAAACTCTCTCTGTTCATTCCATTGCAAGAAATATCACATGAAAGATGTGTAAATTAGTCTCTCTCTCTCTCACACTCTCACTCACTCACTCACTCACTCACTCACTCACTCACTCACTCACTCACTCACTCACTCACTCACTCACTCACTCACTCACTCACTCACTCACTCACTCACTCACTCACTCACTCACCTCACTCACCTCACTCACCTCACTCACTCACTCACCTCTCTCACACACTCACCTCTCTCACACACTCTCACACTCTCACACTCTCACACTCTCTCACACTCTCACACTCACACTATGACAACATTTAGTGCTTTTACACCCAGGCTGAATATTTCATTCTGAGCCGCATGTTGCACCACTCACTTTCCATGAGCCCCTGTCACTTCAATCTGGGCACGTGGGGGCTGACTGGTGCAGGCAGGCAGGCACCTCCTCCTCCTCCACTGCCAAAGACAGCTATCTTTCACACAACTGTCAGCGGTGTGACTGCCTGCCTGTCTTCCTGTTTGTCAAGAGCCCTGTAACCCTTCTCTTGCCTCGCTTCCCTTCCTCTCCCTTCTTCTCATCTAATAATAATAATAATAATATGCCATTTAGCAGACGCTTTTATCCAAAGCGACTTACAGTCATGTGTGCATACATTTTTACGTATGGGTGGTCCCGGGGATCAAACCCACTACCTTGGCATTACAAGTGCCATGCTCTACCAATTGAGCTACAGAGGACCATCTCCCTCCTCTCCTATTTCCTCTCGTCCTTTCCTCTGCACTCTTTTTCTCCCCTCCTCCTCCCCTCTACTCTCCTCTCTCTCCTCTCCTCTACTCTCTCTCCTCTACCCTAGAACCAACCAGGGTGAACTGGACGGTAGCAGGCATGACATTTGCGTCAGCCACACCACGCCAGGAGATATACGCGTGGTGAACGTGTGTCCTGACTTTACCCCAATTAGACGCGTCTCGTGACCCATCAAAAGGGTCTGTGAGAATGGTGTTATTTCCTGTCCAGGAGCACGGTTGGCGAGGAATGCGTGCAACGCCGAACACAGCTCGTTAGCTCAATGACACTTCTGATTGGCTGATTGGGAAATTACTTTATATTTGCACAGGCTGAGCTGGCCCCCAGACTAACATTTTCAGATATCAGATATCTATCCAGTGCTGTGTTGGCTTTCCCTGTCGGGGGTAACTGTCCTTCTTGTACTGTATCAGCTTACAGTAAAGTGTGTGTGTTAGCTTAAGATGCTATGGATTTATACTGTATCTTACAATACAAAAACATTTTGTAGAACATTAATATTAAATTGGCTAGATAATGACCAGTGTAAATGTACTGTACATTGCAACATACAGTGTCCTCCGTAATTATTGGGACAGTGAAGCATTTTTTATTATTTTGGATCTATACTCCAAACGTTTGGATTTGAAATCAAACAATCCTGAATGAATCTTGAATAATGATGAGTGAGAAAGTTAGAGGCATAAATATCATACCCCCCAAAAAATGCTAACCTCCCCTGTTATTATAATAGTGAGAGGTTAGCATGTCTTAGGGGTATGATATGCATCTGTAACTTTCTCACTCATCATTATTCACGATTCATTCAGGATTATCCGTAATCATGGTAGCATCCACATTAATTTAGAAGTGTTTAGAAACATACTCTATTCTTATTTACAATAAATGTGACACTACATTATTTACCATTAATTTATATTGGGAACAAAATAATCTGAAACACAACCAAAACAAACAGCAAATGAAATGCATCCAACAAATTTGTAGAGTCACAAGCTTGATGTAGTCATTGCGTGCTATGAATATGGGACCAAATACTCAACTTTTTACTACTTTAATACACATAAGTGAATTTGTCCCAATACTTTTGGTCCTAAAAAATGGGGGGACTATTTACAAAAAGTGCTGTAGTTTCTAAACGGTTCACCTGATATGGATTTAAATACCCTCAAATGAAAGCTGACAATCTGCAATTTAACCTCATAGTCATTGTTTTATTTAAAATCGAACTTTTGGAGTATAGAGCCAAAAGAAGAAAAAAGGCTTCACTGTCCCAATAATTACGGAGGGCACCGTATTTGCATTTAACTGCCTTCTCTAAAGAAAAGGCCTAACTGTACAGTAGCCTAGGCAATGAGAGACAGCCCCTATCAGAAGAGAAATTGCCCTCTCCCTCTCTCCCTCAGTGTATATTTCAAAACAGAGTTGAGTTATTCCACTGCATCATTCGGCAGTCGCTAGCTTGGGATGTGTGCTCCCCCAATCCCTCTCCAGCAGGCTATGAAGGCAGCCTCTCGCTTTGAAAATTCTACCCATCATGCAAACTGACAAAGGCATGATTTTCAAAAACCCACAGCCAATCTGTTGATCATTATTTATTTACAAAGGCCTTCAGGCAGCAAGTCCTGTAAAAACCAGACTAGATATGGTATACGCTCTCTCGCTCTCTCGCTAGCTCGCTCTCTTTGCTGCGTTTTTTCCCCTCCTTGCTTGTAGAGTAAAGTGTCCCTAAGGCTACCTCAAACAATCACTTTTCATTGCGCATAAAATCCAACTTGTAAAGCTTATTTAATATATATGGTATCATATATATATTGACAGGCATTGGGGGGGGGGGGGGGGGGGTGCTGTGGTCGGCGCTGGGTAATCTGATGTTTTGCTGAGGGCTATGACTTGAAAAAGCCTACACCTAGAACAGAGGACCTGTCATCCACAGCACCCAAGAGCCAGCAGAATACAGAAGCAGCCCTAAAGCAGAGACAACTTTGACACCGCTTTGAAGCGTTTTTTAAAACCAAGTAAATAACTCCCAAGAATTATTATCACTGCAAGATCAAAGTGGAGATGCATATATTACATGGCAAACAGGGACCATCTCCTCAGCAGAGGAGAGAACGAGAGAAAAAAAAGGTTTATTGCTTTAAGTTAGGAAACAAAAACTAAGCAGCCATATAAACTAGCAGTTAGCTGGAAGCGTGCCAATTTCTCTCTCTTTTGTATCAGTTTCCTCTTTTTAAATGCCCTAAGGTCGATGTCCGCTCCCCCGCTGAAATCTAATTAGCATTAAAAAAAAAAATCCCCATAGAAATCTGTCAGTTTAAGCGAGAGATATTGCCCTTCTGCATCTGCGGTGAAAGGTGGCAGAGCTAGAGCGGTGTTTACCAGACCATGAGACATCATGAAAATCGGTCTTCTCATGAAAACGTCTGTAGCGTCCGAACGGTTTGGCCTACAGACTACTATGACCCCTCTATGGAAATACGAGACTCTCACGAACACGTTCATTTTTTGCTCTAGGACGCCCACAAGCCTCACAAGGCTAGTCTGAATGTAGCCAGGTACCAGTTTAAAAAATGAATGTAGATAGTTTAGTGCTTAAAATTACTTGTCAAATAATTACTTTTGTGGTTCCTGATCTTTCTTATATATCTCTCAGATCATTCTTTAAATTTTTTGGGGGACTATCTGTTCATCCATGTATGAATCTGTTATTCAATGTGTTTCTATGGGCTAACAGCAGTAAGGCCAAATTTAATGTTTTATCAAATATTTTTGTAAATATTTTTTTGGGGATATACCTTAAGGGGTCCTAAAACTCCAAATCAAATAGCTAAATGATCCTTGCTATGACCATCTTAAAACAATTCCATATGTTAGCTTAGTAGAACCACCCCGTGGACAAGTAGTACCTACAATAAATCAAAGGACTTATTTTGGATGCTGTTCAAAGGTGCCCTAATGGGACCTAGTAACAACTCTTCCACACAAAGCACACTAAAGGAATCGATTTAGCTTTGCAGAGAACATACAGTACACAGAAAACTATCCTATTAACTAAAAGACAATGTTTAAATGAACAGCACCACCCTTTCTACCAATTGACACAAAGATATGAGAAAATGAGTTACTTTTGTGAGAAGAAATTTGCAAACATAATTATAGAATCTTTCATTATTTTTTTCATAATAGTTTAAGAATCTCTTGTGAGTGAAAGATAGTTCTGAAACAGTCATTTGATCGAGAAAAGCACATACATTTTACTGTATCCCTATGTATGCTTTCATAGTACTTTTTATAAAATTTTAAGAGATGTTTTTTCAAGATCGAATGCTATATGATGCCTTAAATATATGCTCTTCAACTCCAAACATTTTGTGACTTGCATGACAAAAAATACACAGCACCATTAGGAGATGTCTATTGTATATTTATAAAATACACAGCACCATTAGGAGATGTCTATTGTATATTTATAAAATACACAGCACCATTAGGAGATGTCTATTGTATATTTATAAGACAGGGCCCCAACAATCACTAATTTAAAAGGGAGTGGAACTATGCTGTGTCCCTGTTCTCTCCCATCTTCACCACTGTGCTTCCACCCTGCCACCCCGATTGGACAGCCTCCCCTCTCTCTCGCTCGGCATTTTCACGCTGTCGCATTCCTACTGCTGTCTCTCTCTTCCCGCACAAAAAACGAAACCCTTTTATCTTTCAAAATCAATTAACTGCAATTTAATTCCAGAGGACAGGATAAAAGGAAGGTAATATTGCAAATTCATTTTTGATTGCAATGATACATCTCGCATATGGCCTTAAGTAGCAGAAACAGTGGTCGCAGGGGTTCCCACAATAGATCCCACTGCCCCGGGGCAGAGGAACCACGGGGAGGACTCTGATTGGTTGCTGGTGTCGTTAGTGCCAGCGTTGTTTAAGGACTACATGTGGACGGGACTGGAGGGGGGTTGGAGGGGGGGGTGAAGGGGTGACAGATGACACTTTAAAGCCAGAGGATTTGTTTTTCAAACAGTTCCTCCTCCTCTCACAGACTCTGTCTTTCATGACAGAAATATTCCAGCTCTGTCATTACCCACTGTCTGACAGCATGCCAGCCCAGCTGTCCTCTCCTTTTCTCACTCTCACTTTCTTCCCCCTCTCCTCTCTCACTCATTCGCTCGGCTCCCCTCCTTCTCCAACCATCCCACCACCACCACCATCTACCCGTCTCTCCTTCTCCCACTCCTCACTCTGACTTTCTTACTCTCCTTCTTATTCGTTCCCCCCTTCCACCATCCATCCATCTCTTTCTTTCTCTCTCCTTCCTCCCACCCTCACACTTCCTCTCCATCTTTCTGTTTGAAGCATCAAATCAATGTCTTACCTCATCATTTTGGGCGAGTTGTTGGGTGAGTTTCGCATGCCTCCATTCCGCTGCTTTTTTTTGGGCGACAGAGTTGACGGGTGCTCATCTTCAACTGCAAACACATGCAAAGAGTGTCAGGCTATGGACAGACGGGGAGGTTAATGTGAGCTGGAACTGACACGTCAAAGAACACCAAAGCCAACACTCAATCAATCAACCATAGCAAAATAAACTCAACACCAACAACAAAAAACTCATACAAAAATAACAATATGTCAGAGTCAGAGAGAAGACCGTCAGAAAGAGAACACATTAGTTAGTAGCGGACAAAGGTACATTTGAGAAAGGCAGGAGAAAAAAACACGAAGAGAAATACCACCTAGTAAGACCTGACAAATTTGCCATCGGCTCACTCCACCAAAGCCCACCCCCTTTGGTTCTGTTCCTCTGGACTAGGTTCTATACAGTAGGAGTGGATCACTTTATATCCAGTATGTCTTTAGATCCAGTGGCAATCTTTAGATCCAGTCTAGTCTGTGTGTGGTTGGACCAATAGCAGTCTGCATCAGTGTGACAATACTTTCCTAGGCCAGCCAATACGGGCCATGTGACTAGGACAGACTGTTATTGTCAGTAGGCCAAGGTGGACAAAAGCAATGACAGAGCTAGAGAGATAAAGACACACACAGAGAGAGAGAGAGAGAGAGAGAGAGAGAGAGAGAGAGAGAGAGAGAGAGAGAGAGAGAGAGAGAGAGAGAGAGAGAGAGAGAGAGAGAGAGAGAGAGAGAGAGGATGATTCTGTGCAATTTGGTTGTTTTGAATGGATGACTAATGTGGCAGACCCCCACCCCATCATTCCAGCTCTAGATATGGATAGGGTTTCAAAATTCAAGTAACTTTCCCCAAATTCCCAGGTTTTCCAGAAATCCAATTTTGGGAAAGTTACCGCAATTTTCCAACCCTAGCTACGAAGCACAATGGCTCTTCTACAGGTCTAAGCTCCATGCCACGCACACTCAGCCAATCAGGACTGCACGAGCATCCCAGAGTAGCCAATCACATGCCCAACCAGCCCTCCAAACAGGAAAGGATTGAGTAGCCTAGCATTAGCCTAGCATTAGCCTAACATTACAGTAACTAGAACTTTAAAATAACAGAAATATCTGAGAAAATTACTGGCCTTGCAAACACTCAGTAATCTAGGATGTATGCATTATTATGAATATAACACGTTTTAAAGATACTTAAGGAACAAACTTGCTGAGCATCACAAAAAAATTTAACAAATATCTATAACTTTTTAAAATAATTATTTCTCTCCGGGCCACTGTACTAAAGTCAGACAGCACAGTGAAGTTTTAGATTAGCTTGATCTGATAGAAGTTTATTTTCCTCTCAGCTACTCCTCACTCTGCAGGAGATTAAAACTTTTCTCCCAACCCAGACAGACAGAAGACTAAGAGAAAAATACAGCTAGAGAGAAATCCAGGCCCACTACTCTAAAGACTTTCAGTTTAGCTAACACCAGTCTGATCTTTTTTACCATCTGTCTGTGAGTTCCAAGGGCTTTAAGAGTCAGACACCCAGGCACTCTTCTTATCCACTCTGCATTCTCCACAGCACACAAATGCCAAAGCCACTGTCACTTCAAACCCTGTATTAGTGCTTTGGTTAGAAATCAATACCACAGCATGATATTAATGCAAATCAATGTTGCGTTGCTGCAAGCGCTGAATGCGCCGAGCACATTTCATTTCTGTCTGAGCATCCCTTCTAGACTGTCACCTAATTGCACTAATAAAATATATAAATGTGACTTTGCCTCCTAAGAAAATGCCATTCTCTGACATTTCCGCTTCGCAAATGTAGCGTCCTGAGTAGCTAATATTACAAGAAAGCGCTTCCACTTTACAAATGCATCTCTCTCTAGTCTAATCCACTTTGTGAAAATATCACAGAATAAAATATTACTTCCCTTCATTGATTGGCTTATTGTTCTATATTAGTGGATACATCCAGGCTCATATCTCTGGGCCTAGCCAGTTTCATGTCCTTGGCCTTGTGATAGATCAGTTATGTTAAAAACGAGTGTGATTGAAGCACAACAACGAAACTCAGATAATCAACAATGAAACAACATGTTCTGCACTGCATCATGGGGATCACAGCTTGTGTGTGACTGTTACTGTAGCATTGACATTACAGTACTTTGAAAACTAAACTGCTATCTACACAAATCTCTCTGAGACTGATATAGCAGACTGTTGTTGGCTCAATGATCAGGTTAGCGATTTCCCTATCACCACATCACTTAAATATAATAACAAATAAATCAAAACTACCCAAACTTCACAGGGCATTTATAAAAATGCAATAAAACAGTAACACATTGTATAAATTCCTCTATTTGCAGGTGGACTAAGGACTACATGTGTTCTATCACTACGCCAGGTACCAATAACCCTTCAAAGTCATCCACTAGTCCTATTACATAGCAGCCACACACACAGCACTGCGTGTTGCATTAGTGAGCGTATGAGAACTGCCTTCATGCAAAGCAGCAGCAGTGGCGCCGGCGGTGGTGGTATTTACAACTAGCAGCAGCATCTAGTAGCAGCTCAGTGAAACCCGCATGCAGGCAGGCGACGGACGCAGGGTGACAGTACAGGACAGTACAGGGTGTTAGGGACTGACAGGGACTGATGCATCCTGGTAAGGGGGTCAACCTACAGAACCTGCTGCTGTGGCCGTGCAGAGATGCGTTACTGGGGTGGTAACAGTATTTCACCGGCAGGCTGCGGGCCCGGTTCAGCCTGCTCTGTTCGGCCAGGACCCTGCCAGCCGTGTCCCCCCTGCCGGGGCCTGAGATACTGACGCGGAACCCCCTGTGGGGCCCAAGACCCAGCCCCACCCCCGGAGGAAGCAGGCTTCCTTTACGGTTATTAACGAGGGGTACGGCGGTGGCCTCTCCCTGGGGGGCCGGGGGGTTCTGGTGGAGGGAGGGGCGAGGCGGTGCTTGGGGATGCATGGCATTAGAGGTGATGGTGGAGGAGGGCGAGGTGCAGTTGGAGGAGGAGGTGCAGTTGGCAATTTTAATCGATCGGTTTTGTAAAGATGATCTAACTTCATCCTTCACTGTCAAACAATGGAGAATAAACAGAGTGAAAAAAGAAAGGCTGGGGAGACAGATTCCTAGATAGATAGAATGACAATGGTATTTACTTTACTATCTTGTGCCGTAAAATATTAAATTGAATGCAGCTTGTGTGTTAAAAAAAGCTACATGTCATTATATTCAGCAGATATATACATTTTAGGATAAATGTTATGGATTACATTTCTGCTTATTTTTTTAAAACATGTACAGTAAACATGCTAATACGCAGTTACAAACACTGACACAAAATAAATCCTTATTAAAACAATGTTCTATAAATTATTAATAATTTCCCCTGCATGTGAATGAATCACTAAATATTTTAAGGGGGAAAAGTTAATGTGAATTTCATTGTTGGACCATTTATTTCCCCCTTGAAGATGACTTGAGAAGGGCCTGTATGTGTGCCATGAAAGCAGCCATCATTTTTTCAGTAATTGACGATGACACCTCGGTTTTACTTAGCACCACTTAGGCACTTGGCATACGCTTAAAATAAAATGTTCAATATGACATTTGCTTTGCCATTCCTAATAAACATGAATTAATTAAAAGCTTTTTCTGCTTTTTTCTCCCTCTCTTTCCATTTAGCTACAAAGCGTGTTAGAACAAAGAAGTAACACAGCCTGTCTGAAAATAGTCAGGCCAAATTATTTCCCAAACCCCTCTACAGGCAAATGTAGGGGACAAATCCACATAATACTGTCTTACGGTATTGGTAGATGGAAATGCACATTTAAAACCACAGTGGAATGATTTCTATTATAATTGTTCTCTGAACACACACAGAAGGGAGGAAAAGAAAAGAATGGAAAGCAAAAAAAAAGGATAGGAGACAACAAGGAAAAGAGGAGGGAAAGAGGAGGGAGAGGGAAAGAGGGGGGAGAGGGAAAGAGGAGGGAAAGAGGAGGGAGAGGAAAAGAGGAGGGAAAGAGGAGGGAGAGGAACAGAGGAGGGAAAGAGGAGGGAGAGGAAAAGAGGAGGGAAAGAGGAGGGAGAGGAAAAGAGGAGGAAAAGAGGAGGGAAAGAGGTTTAAGAAAGGGAGGTAAACCAAATAGCTGGTCTTCAAAGTGGGGGAGCGCAGGGGAAGTGTTCTCTTGTCCTCCTGCTGGTTAGTCGGTTGGTAGAGTAGGTTGTTAGGTTGTTGTGTGTGTCGTGGCGTGTGTCGCGGTCATGGTCTTGGCCGGTCCCCCCCACCCCCCCAGGGCACTAAACAGAGGTTTATCCCAGCCGTCAGCTGCCTCCTTGATTTACGGAGCGCCACCGATAGCTCCTGGATTCATCTGGCCCTTGTCAAACACGCGCAGCATTAGAGCACGTTCACACACCCTGGCAGGTCCACTGTGCACTCAGAACAGCCCAGACGGCAACTGTCCCTACCAGAAATGCTAATCACAAGACGGGGACATCACGCATGCAAGCCCCCATCAGGGTCCTATGCAAATCACAGATAGGAAAAGACAGCAGAGAGAATACTGTTGAAGATATTGTTGTTTGTTTATTGTATCTGAGCTAAGTTTGATGTGTGTATTAATATTAGGCTTACCGGTGCTGGATAGTACATTGGTATCATAGTATGTTTGTGGTATTTTTTGCTGTGTAACATTATGGACTATTATGGATTGCATTACTAGCATTTCTGTATTATTCATATTATTTTATAATATTGTTAACATTAATATTATCATTACAGTTATTTTGTTATGGAATCATACAGTACTTCTGTAGTTATGTCAAACACAGAAAGCAGTGTATTATACAGTAAGCATCTGAAATGGTTATTAAAAAACTGTATGAAAACTGGAAAAAATAATGTTATAACAAACAAACAGCATTGAACATTCACATTATCTATATGAAACAGGATAGAAAAGAGTACATTTGGTCAACGCTATACTTTATACTGAGAGATTTACCTAAATTGCAATCTGCTTTGAACCGAACGCAGGTCTCTTTTTGACTTCCCGTTTTCCCTGGTGCTGTAGCGCCCTCTGCTGCTCAACGCAGCACAATACAAACACAACCTTATTGGGCTGAACATAACGTCAAAGAACAAGAGCATGGATCTTAAATAAATTACTACAAATATACTGTATGTTAAGTATATATATAAAGGACATATGTTATACAGTTAGGGAGGCATCTGTTTTGTACTGAATTAGCTAGGTCAATTAGTGAGAATATAGTGACGTTATCTATGCATTTCTGATGTAAGAAGGAAGGGGAGCTTATAAAATGACAGACATAAGATTAATTTACACATCATCATTGTGGACAAACTCTGTTATTAGTGTCAAGGGCCACTGCATCAATTCACATAATGTACAGCAGAGACTTTAAGATGGTAGCTTTGCGTTCTAGAACTAAACGTGGAGAACAAAAACCAAACCAAAACATTGTATTAATACTTGGGGGGGGGGGGGGGGGGGGGTGATATGGCGAGGCGACTAGTACAGGTCTAAACATGAGGAGGGGTTTGGGTGGGGTTGGTCGCAGAAGCAAGGATGGGGAGGGACAGAGAAACACACTTACGTGATCTGACATATCCATTATACTTATATTTGGCTGAGGAGAAGTGCAAGAGACAAATGACAGATTACATGGAGGAAGAGAGTGGTGATGATCATGATGAGAGAGACGGAAAGACAGACCGAACTGAGAGAGACAGACAGACAGACAGACAGACAGACAGACAGACAGACAGACAGACATGACAAACATCATAGACAGACATCATCAACAGACATCACAGACAGACAGATCACAGGAAATAGAGATCAAATTATTTAAGATAGATGTAAAATGATGTAAAAATAAAATGGTTAGACAATAATGAATCAGAACTATTTTAAAACACATTGGTGATTGCGCAAAATGTGAGCTGAATGGAGAGAATAGTGCAAAATGGTAAAAGAGGAGGCGATGGATGAGGTGAAGGAGGTGAATGAGAGAGATGGACTGTATGACCACAGAGAGAGCGAGGTGAAACGGGAGGGAATAAAGCTGTGCTTCTGGAAAATGAAACAAAACTGTGGGACTGTGGGACGTTATCAAAATCCTGTTTTGTGGTTAGGAATCATTTTCAGATGAGCTCACCACTCCTAAAGTAGCTCAGCAATGTGCTGAAGTTTTTCCCCTTACATTGAAACTAATCCAATAATTGATAGATTATTTTTTTATTTTTAGCTATCATCAGGTGGGACTATCATGGAGCTATCAATAGTTTTTTTTAAAGAGTATTCAATTCAAAAATGATCCGGGGACAGTGGAGAGATAACGAACGACCCACAGAACGGAAGGATGAGCCCAGACTACAGACTGAACAGAACACACACCAAACCCAAACAGAAAGACAGTCACACACACGTCTACCCTCTCCCATACCTCCCAATAACACACACTGAGGAGGGACAAAGAAACACACACACCACGGACTGGACAGTAGCACCCCTAACACACCATAGTTAGTAAGTCATTCTGAGTTTGCCGTTTGAGCCGTTTTCTTTGTATGAAGTAAACAAGGGAGGCCTTTGGCCAAAGTAATGCACAATATATAGCAAATAGGGTTCTATTTGGGATGGAGTCAAAGGGAGAATCTCAATTGCATACTCATCGTATCCTCTCTCCTCGCCTCCTTCTCAAAACCAATTGGATGAGAAAGCCAGAGGTCCCTCCCCTCTGATCTTCTCCTCCAATGGGCTTTAAGAAGGAGGCGAGGAGAGAGGACATGAGGAGTATGCAATTGAGATTCTCCCATAGACTGTGAGCTAGCTAGCCTAGCCCTCCCTGCTCTGCTCTGCCCTGCTCTGTCTTCGACAGTGAAGGCCCAGGGCTGCCCTGTGACACACACCCTCAAACAGGGATGCTCGCTGGCCCTGGCATCTGTCGTTATCGATCTACCTGCTTCCGCAGAGGCGGCAGGCTAACCGGCTAGCGTCTGAGGGGTAGCGCGATGGAGGAGCGTGGAGGGCCGCGGAGGGGAGAGGGGGGATCCAAACTTGCCTGGTGGACAGGACCTGTCAGGGCAGGTTTCGGTGACGGACTAGCAGAGCCGGGGAAATAAAAATGCTAACATAATTTCCACGTCAGGCTGGATAAGGATCGCCTGCCGCTGAGACACACACGTACACCCATCTCCCTCTAAGTCAGACACAGACTAGCCACAGCCTTAAGTCTCTGGTTCACAGCAAACAGCCCAAGCCCCAACCCTCTGCCTCTGGCTCCAGGCCCAAACCACTTCTCCTGGTCCTAACTCTGCCCAGCCCTGCAGCCCCAACCCCCAGTCCCAGCTCCAACCCCCAGTCCCAGCTTTAGTCCAAACCCCTTCTCCTGACCCTAACCCTGCCCGAACCCAGCCTCCAGGCCGGAATCTTTGCCCCAGATGGTCCCCAGAAGCTGGGACAAACAACGCCCTGAGAGACCAAAAACAACGTGTCCCAAAGATGACTACAACTGACTACTTCCTAGCTGAATCACTGCTCTGACTTAGGAAGAAGCACACCCACTTTAGACTTATACACGGCTATAAGTTTCACGTCTTCTATTAGCCCGTCCATGTATATTTCAATTAGCAAACAACTCTGGATAATGTGTGGTCTAAATGTAACATGTTTCATAACATATGATGTGAAGTGCCTCGCAGATAGAGTAAATAAATAAGAAAATACTATTTAAGAAGAAACCAGTTGAAAATCAATTTCAGATGTGAATGAAGTCATCGTGGTCAGAGACATCTTATCCACTCTGAAAGACAGAAAAAAAGGGGAAAATACAGAGAAAATCCAGTGATAGCGATCCCTAACCCATAAAGAGTTACCTGTCTAACAGAACACAGAGGGCGTTCTTTAATGGAAGCCTCCCCAACATAATCCAGGTAGAATCAGGAATTCCCCAAGGCAGCTGTCTAGGCCCCTTACTTTTTTCAATCTTTACTAATGACATGCCACTGGCCTTGAGGAAAGCCAGTGTGTCTATGTATGCGGATGACTCAACACTATACACGTCAGCTACTACAGCGAGTGAAATCACTGCAACATTTAACAAAGAGCTGCAGTTAGTTTCAGAACGAGTGGCAAAATAATAAGTTAGTCCTAAATATTTCAAAAACTAAAAGCATTGTATTTGGGACAAATCATTTACTAAACCCTAAACCTCAACTAAATATTGTAATAAATAATGTGGAAAGCAAGTTGAGGTGACTAAACTGCTTGGAGTAACCCTGGATTGTAAACTGTCATGGTCAAAACATGTTGATACAACAGTAGCTAAGATGGGGAGAAGTCTGTCCATAATAAAGCGCTGCTCTGCCTTTTTAACAACACTATCAACAAGGCAGGTCCTACAGGCTCTAGTGTTGTCGCACCTGGACTACTGTTCAGTCTTGTGGTCAGAGAGGGACCTCGGAAAATTACAATTGGCTCAGAACAGGGCAGCACAGCTGGCCCTTTAAATGTACACAGAGAGCTAACATTAATAATATGCATGTAAATCTCTCATGGCTCAAAGTGGAGGAGAGATTGACTTCATCACTACTTGTTTTTCAAAGAAGTGTTGACATGCTGAATGCACCAAGGTGTCTGTTTAAACTACTAGCACACAGCTCAGACACCTATGCAACACCCACAAGACATGCCACCAAAGGTCTCTTCACAATCCCCAAGTGAACAGACTATGGTAGGCACACAGTACTACATAGAGCCATGGCTACATGGAACTCCATTCCACATCAGGTAACTGATGCAAGCAGTAGAATCAGATTTAAAAAACAGATAAAGACACCTTATGGAACAGCAGGGACTGTGAAGAGACACACAGGCACAGACACACATACACATCATAACATACACACACGTACACATGGATTTTGTATTGTAGATATGTGATAGTAGAGTAGTGACCTGAGGAAACACACTTAATGTGTTGTGAAAAGTATTATGATATGTAATGTCATGTAATATTTTAAATTGTATATAACTGCCTTAATGTTGCTGGACCACAGGAAGAGTAGCTGCTGCCTTGGCAGCAGCTAATGGGGATCCTTAATAAATACATATACTAAATACCATCCATGATATCAACATTATAGTTTTAACCATGTTTTGATGCGATATATAGTGTTTGTTTACATTTACATTGTTTACAACTGTAGTAAAAAAATGCTTATATTTTGAGTTCTGCTTGGATAGGACAGTTGAACTAAGCACATGAGGCATTTATATGTTTTATTCTTCAAGAATCAATGGGTACATATCATTCATTTATAAGTCCAGAAATGGATGTAGCAATTGCTGATTGCCCCTTTAAAGAGAACAAGAAAGATGTTGTCTTCCATGAAATCCTACGAGGGGCTGAGGGAGGAGAGAGATCAGTAACTACCCTAATAGCCAGTAATTGGTGCAGAGGGAGAGTAGCGGCCCACCAACCTACAAGAGGCAAAACCAAACTCATCATCAGCCGGTTGACACTAATCTAGTCAGAGCTCATTCACAGATGGTGGGAGAATGCTGAGGAGGAAATCACATGGGGCTGATTTCTCCCGTTTCCCCTCTATCCAATCACTGCTATTTCCCTTTCCCTCTATCCAAATCACTGCCATCTCTCTTTTCTCTCTATCCAATCACTGCTATTTCCCTTTCCCTTTACCACTGTCATCTCCTTTTCCCCTCTCTCCTCTGCCTGGGTCCTCTGATAGGTCCAGACAGCCCTAGAGGAGCAACAGAGGGCTTGTTCCCCATGCTTTTGAATGCAATGCTAACTGGTTCAATCTGTTTCCACTAGCATTGCTACAAGCTCCAAAAATGCTAGCCAGGAGATTCTGGATGATGCCAAATACCCAGCAAACAAATACAAAAATTGTTTGGATGAAACATAATCTAAAACTAAAAAAAAGTGATCCCCTGGGTTCCTGATTACTGAGGAAGAGGATAAAGTAATCTGATGGAACAAAGATCAAGTCTGGGAAAAGAGAGAGGGTGTTATTTATCTTAATCCTGTGGAGTAGCTAGCTCCTTCTTTACAAGTCAATCCATATCTGTTGGCTGGTTGGGACTGGATGAGTATCATGGCTGAGGGTCATGATCTGAAGATAGCTGGAAAAGTATTTCCATAGGACTGGGTATACCTCAACACTCACTCATATTCATTGTTTTCTTATTGGAAGATTAACCACTTTCCTATGATGAAGAGCGATACACAATCAACAACTACAGACCACAACACTCTGACAGTCATATTATCACATAGGTATCATGTAATAAGCCACGGTGAGAACGTTGAAGGGACACGTGGTGTAAAGCGTAAGTCATAGTCCACAGACGTTGAGACGCTATAGTCCGGGGTCCCACTGTGACATAGCTACATGACTCCGAGACCATCTGCGGGGGAGGCACAGCCCAAACGCGCACCTTCCCACAATTCCAAACCAACACGGCACTGGAACGCGTCATCTATTAATTTGAATGTGTTGACAGTTGGAGAAATTGCTTGAGCTGCGCTGAGAATTCAAAAAGTATGAAAGCCAACAGTCCAATATTCTAGAACACTGCTGTGCATACACGTACACGTTTTGGACTATGATAAACACTTAAGTCTGGCAATGAGACTGTAAACACTGAGAAACTTTAAAAGGTACAGTCAGCAAAATGACATCATCATACAAGGAAGGGTGTGATATTGTGAAGAGCCAATAAATCACCCTTTGCTAAGCCCCACCCCCCTGGTTATGGTTGCTACCTCGTTTTCAAATTGTCCCGGGAAGTCCAATTCCCCATTCAAACCAATGGAGAAAACCCCTCACAATGATCTCAAACTGTGTTTTTAATACACAATGAAATTAAACACAGACTACCCCTTGCTAATCAGAAGACTCTCGGGAATGTTATGGTGGACTGTCATTACAATTGCTTCACGGGAACCTGATAAAATGAAGTTTGTACTGTGGCTAGCCACTGGATTGCTCTGAATGCACTGTCAGCATGCAGTCAAAGCTACTAAACACTTTTGGAGCTCAGTAGTGCTCTCAAATTGTGTACGGATGTTGACAGCAGTGAGTTATATTAATAATATAGCTAACTTAGCTATTTAACATACATTTGGCGAATACAAGTTATATTAACTGGCTAGCTAGTTAACTAGCATTAGCAACATTTTCAACATTGGTCAATGAAAGCTAGCAAGCTAACCAGCTATCAAACAATGCAACAAAAGTATAATTTCGGTTTCGTAAAAATACTCCATCTGCAGGCACTGAATTTCAGGAATCACAGTCCCAAGTACCCCTGGTGTACTGTTAAATTATTTAGCCATTTAAATAACTTATTTTTGTATGAAAACTCTCCGCTTTTGCCATTGCCCTCATTGGCTTCCATACTTTTGAAATGAGAGCTTGTCCATGCGTTGGACTCAAGCTTGGTTAGCGACAGTTGCTATCCACTGTAGCACTTCAATGGATTGCCGAAAATTCTGGGACGGGGCTTAGCGAACGGTGAATTGAAGTCTCTGTTGATGTAGGTAGGAGGTCACCCCATTGTGTATGACCCATCTTGTTTAGTAGTGTACCTTTAAGATTAACCCCATTTGATATGCTACATACAGTGGGGGAAAAAAGTATTTAGTCAGCCACCAATTGTGCAAGTTCTCCCACTTAAAAAGATGAGAGAGGCCTGTAATTTTCATCATAGGTACACGTCAACTATGACAGACAAAATGAGAAGAAAAAAATCTAGAAAATCACATTGTAGGATTTTTAATGAATTTATTTTTAAATTATGGTGGAAAATAAGTATTTGGTCAATAACAAAAGTTTCTCAATACTTTGTTATATACCCTTTGTTGGCAATGACACAGGTCAAATGTTTTCTGTAAGTCTTCACAAGGTTTTCACACACTGTTCCTATGTATTTTGGCCCATTCCTCCATGCAGATCTCCTCTAGAACAGTGATGTTTTGGGGCTGTCACTGGGCAACACAGACTTTCAACTCCCTCCAAAGATGTTCTATGGGGTTGAGATCTGGAGACTGGCTAGGCCACTCCAGGACCTTGAAATGCTTCTTACGAAGCCACTCCTTCGTTGCCCGGGCGGTGTGTTTGGGATCATTGTCATGCTGAAAGACCCAGCCACGTTTCATCTTCAATGCCCTTGCTGATGGAAGGAGGTTTTCACTCAAAATCTCACGATACATGGCCCCATTCATTCTTTACTTTACACGGATCAGTCGTCCTGGTCCCTTTGCAGAAAAACAGCCCCAAAGCATGATGTTTCCACCCCCATGCTTCACAGTAGGTATGGTGTTCTTTGGATGCAACTCAGCATTCTTTGTCCTCCAAACACGACGAGTTGAGTTTTTACCAAAAAGTTATATTTTGGTTTCATCTGACCATATGACATTCTCCCAATCCTCTTCTGGATCATCCAAATGCACTCTAGCAAACTTCAGACGGGCCTGGACATGTACTGGCTTAAGCAGGGGGACACGTCTGGCACTGCAGGATTTGAGTCCCTGGCGGCGTAGTGTGTTACTGATGGTAGGCTTTGTTACTTTGGTCCCAGCTCTCTGCAGGTCATTCACTAGGTCCCCCCGTGTGGTTCTGGGATTTTTGCTCACCGTTCTTGTGATCATTTTGACCCCACGGGGTGAGATCTTGCGTGGAGCCCCAGATCAAGGGAGATTATCAGTGGTCTTGTATGTCTTCCATTTCCTAATAATTGCTCCCACAGTTGATTTCTTCAAACCAAGCTGCTTACCTATTGCAGATTCAGTCTTCCCAGCCTGGTGCAGGTCTACAATTTTGTTTCTGGTGTCCTTTGACAGCTCTTTGGTCTTGGCCATAGTGGAGTTTGGAGTGTGACTGTTTGAGGTTGTGGACAGGTGTCTTTTATACTGATAACAAGTTCAAACAGGTGCCATTAATACAAGTAACGAGTGGAGGACAGAGGAGCCTCTTAAAGAAGAAGTTACAGGTATGTGAGAGCCAGAAATCTTGCTTGTTTGTAGGTGACCAAATACTTATTTTCCACCATAATTTGCAAATAAATTCATTAAAAATCCTACAATGTGATTTTCTGGAGAAAAAAAATCTCAATTTGTCTGTCATAGTTGACGTGTACCTATGATGAAAATTACAGGCCTCTCTCATCTTTTTAAGTGGGAGAACTTGCACAATTGGTGGCTGACTAAATACTTTTTCCCCCACTGTATCTACATTTTCTATGAATATTGCTCTATGAACATCACTCGAGCATGGCTCTCGTTCCTACACAAGTCAGTCCTGTGAGCTTGAAATAAAATTATCAGGAACAGAACAGAAACACAGTTAGCAAGGAGGTTCCCATAAAAGCTTGGGATACCTTCATAAACAAAGGAAGACAAAACAACAACAAAAATAAATGAAAACTGTCATCAAGATATTGCATACAGTCAGACATAAATCATCCCTTCAACATACAGTCACATTTTCCTTCATCATATTTATACATAATATACTGTATTAGAAACAATATAATACACAAAACACCAAATGTCTAATAACACAGTCACCACACGAGTGCTTGACTGATGTAGCATGCGCTAGCCACAGAGCTAACAGCTACAGTAGAGCAGCACCAAAGCAACACCACAACTACCACCCAATACAACCCACAGAAATAATAATAAGAAGAAGAATAAGAATAAAAACTACTCAAATTAATGATACTACTACTACTACTACTAATAATAATAATAATAATAACAAATACATTTAAATAAGCCACGACAGCGTAATGGCAACTATGGAAGCACGCCACGTGGACGACGTTACGGATAAAGCACATAAACACATATACCTACACATGGTACACACACACATACACATACAGGGCACACACAACAGACATTTAACAGCACGTGTTGGGCGGTATAACTTACAGGCAGGTAAAGTGGTTGTGCAATCATGAACAGAGACAGAGGGGAGTGGGTAGGCCCTCTGTAGGGTGTCCATGTTAATATGTACACTGCCTGACATGCAAGAGCAGTCTCGCTCTGAACGGCCGCAATCAAAGCAACATGCCAGTTTCATTTGTTTGTAGACGGACATCTTGGCTACAGTCATGTTTTGGGATGAGAGGAAGAGGAAAAGCAGCAGGTTAATGGCAAAAGGAGAAATAGTAATGTGGGGAAGCCGGAAGGTTACTCCACAAAGGAGATAATAAGTGCAAAGCCTTAGATGCCAGCTCTCACAGGCTTGAGCCCCAACAAAAGACCAGTAATGGGCACCTATTATGTTAGGGTGCTTCATACAGTGGGGTCCGAAAATTATTGACATCCTTGATAAAGATCAGCAAAAATTACTGTATAAAATACATTTAAATACTGAGCTATATTGTATGCTCAAAAGAATTGGGAAATTATGTTATTTTATACTAATACAATTGCTCAGAGAAAAAGATAGTTAAATAAGTAATTTATTTTTTCCTCAAAAAGGTAGGGGTAAAAATGATTGACACCCCTGTTTTCAATACCTTTCAATAGCTCAAGCTTTGATTTGAGTCAGCTGTGTAGTGCTAAAGCAAAAAACAAAACGTGCACCGAGGCGGGCCCCCAGGACCGTGTTTGGGAAACGAGTCTTAGACCATTCCTCCATACAGAATCCTTCCAGATCCTTGATATCCTTCATATTATCCTTATTATTATTATTATTATCTGTGCTTATGGGCTGCCCTCTTCAATTCAAACCACAGGTTTTCAATGGGTTTCAAGTCCGGAGACTTGCGATTGCAAATGTTGATTTTGTGGCCAATTCATAATTTCTTTGTGGATTTTGATGTGTGCTTGTGGTTATTGTCTTACTGGAAGATCCACTTGAGGCCAAGTTTCAGCCTCCAGGCAGAGGCAACCAGATTTTTGACAAAAATGTGCTGGTACCCAAGACCAGTGGAAGCATATTTGACAGTAGGTATGGGTTTCTTTTCTGTTTATGCATTCTCATTTCGACGACAAACCGTGGCCAAAGAGTTCTATTTTCATGTCATCTGACCAAAGCACCGGTTCCATTCCAAGTGCCAATGCCATTTCGCAAACGCCAGGCGTGGATGACATGAAAATAGAGCTCTTTGGCCATGCACACCAGAGGTGAGTTTGGAGTTTACTCCACACACAAAGACTCATTCAAAGCTCTCCCTCGCCCTCAATTTGGCAAATCTGACCATAACTCCATTATCCTTATTACAAGCAAAAACTCAAACAATAAGTAATAGCGACACTCTCAATACGGAAGTGGTCCGATGAAGCAGATGCTAAGCTACAGGACTGTTTCGCTAGCAAAGACTGGAATATGATCCGATGGCATTGAGGAGTTTAACACATCAGTCATCGGCTTCATTAATAAGTGCATCAACTACGTCGTCCCCACAGTGACCGTACTGCCTTCAGAAAGTATTCATACCCCTTGACTTATTCCACATTTTGTTCCAGCCTTTATTCAATTTTGAATACATTCATTTTTCTCCCCCATCTACACACAATTCCCCATAATGACAAAGTGAAAACATTTAAAGAAATGTTGGTAGATTTATTGAAAATGAAATACAGAAATATGTAATTTACATAAGTATTCACACCAGAGTCAATACTTTTGGTAGCAATTACAGCTGTGAGTTTTTCTGGGTAAGTCTCTAACAGCTTTCCACACCTGGATTGTGCAACGTTTGCCCATAATTATTTTAAAAATTCTTTAAGCTCTTTCAAATTGGTTGTTGATCATTGCCAGACAACCATTTTCAGGTCTTGTCATAGATTTTCAAGTAGATTTAAGTCAAAACTGTAACCGTTCGTTGGATGTAACACGGCTTGCAAACTATCACGGATTACAAAGGGAAACCCAGCCACAAGCCTACCAGACGAGCTGCTCGCTTTGAGGCAAGCAACACTGAACCATAAGTGAGAGCACCAGCTGTTCCGGATGACTTTGTGATCATGCTCTACATAGCTGATGTGAGTAAGACCTTTAAACAGGTTAACATTCACAAGGCTGCAGGGCCAGAAGGATTACCAGGATGCGTACTCAGAGCATGTGCCGACCAGCAGGCATTTGTCTTCACTGACATTTTCAACCTCTTCCTGACCCAGTCTGTAATACCTACATGTTTCAAGCAGACCACCATAATCCCTGTGCCCAAGAACGCCAAGGTAACCTGTCTAAATGACTATCGCTCCGTAGCACTCACATCTGTAGCCATGAAAGGCTGATCATGACACACCACCATCCCAGACACCCTGGACCCACTCCAATTCACATACTGCCCCACAGATCCACAGATGGCACAATCTCTATTGCACTCCACAATGCACTTTCCCACTTGGACAAAAGGAACACCTACATGAGAATGCTGTTCATTGACTAGAGCTCATCGATCAACACCATAGTGCCCTATAGGGACGAGGTCAAAGACCTGGCAGTGTGTTGCCAGGACAACCTCTCCCTCAACGTCAACAAGGCAAAGGAGCTGGTTGTGGACTACAGGAAACGGAGGGCCAAGCATACCCCCATACACATCGACGGGGCTGTAGTGGAGCGGGTCGAGAGCGTCAAGTTCCTTGGTGTCCACATCACTAAGGATCTATCATGGTCCAAACACACCAACACAGTCGAAGAGGGCACGACAATGCATCTTTTCCCCCTCAGGACGCAGAAAAGATTTGTCATGGGCCCTCAGATCCTCAAAAGGTTCTACAGCTGCACCACTGAGAGCATCTTGACTGGCTGAATCATCGCTTGGTATGACAACTGCTTGGCATCTGATCGCAAAGCACTACAGAGAGTAGTATGGATGGCCCAGTACATCACTTGGTCCGAGCGCTCTGCTATCCAGGACCTCTATACAAGCCGGTGTCAGAGGAAGGCCCTAAAAATGGTCAAAGACCCCAGCCACCCAAGTCATAGACTGTTCTCTCTGCTATTGCACGGCAAGCGGTACCGATGCAACAAGTCTGGAACCAACAGGTCCCTGAACTTCTACCCCCAAGCCATAAGACTGCTAAATAGTTAGTTAAATAGTTAACCAAATAGCTACCCAGACTATCTGCTTTGACCCTTTTTTCAAACATCACATACGCTGCTGCTACTGTTTACTATCTGTTATTTTATTCCTAGTTATATGTACATATCTACTTCAATTACCTCGTACCCCTGCACATCGACTCGGTACTGGTACCCCTTGCATATAGCTAAGTTATCGTTACTCATTATGTATCTAGTATTGCTTTTATTATTACGAGTTTTACTTTTCTATTACTTCTCTATTTTCTTTCTCTCTGCATTGTTGGGAAGGGCCTGTAAGTAAGCATTTCACAGTTAGCCCACACCTGTTGTTTACGAAGCATGTGACGAATAAAATTTGATTTGATTGATTTGATTTAAGCAGAAAGAACCCCATACCTACTGCAAAATATGGTGGTGGATCTTTATGTTATGGGGTGATTTTGCTTCCACTGGTCCTGGGGCCCTTGTTAAGGTCAACGGCATCATGAACTTTACCCAGCACCAGGACATTTTAGGCAAAAACCTGGTTGCCTCTGCCAGGAGGCTGAAACTTGGCCGCATGTGGATTTTCCAACAAGACAATAACCCCAAGCACACACAAAAATGGTTAATTGGCCACAAAATCAAAATTTTGCAATCGCCATCTCAGTCTCCAGACTTGAAACCCATTGAAAACCTGTGGTTTGAATTGAAGAGGGCAGTCCATAAGCGCACATGAAGTATATCAAGACTCTGGGAGGAATGGTCTAAGATCCTTCCAAACGTGTTCTCCAACCAATTTTTTTTTTAAAGGCTCAGTGCTGTTATCCTCGTAAGGTGAGGTATTGAAAGGTATCGAAAACAGAAGTGTCAATAATTTTGACCCCTACCTTTTTGAGAAAAAAAAGTATTACTTGCTAAACAAAATCTATTTCGCTGAGCAATTGTATCAGTATAAAATAATATAATTTCCCTTTTTTTTTTGCATACAATATAGATCAGTATTTTAATTACTTATTTTATACAGTCATTTATCAAGGGTGTCAATAATTTCATACCCCACTGTATATCGCTAGAGTGCCAAACTGCTTTTGGTTCTTTGAAGTAAGAATTGTGTGAAATATATTATCATGGCCAAATAAAACTTTTTTCAATGTTCTCCCAAAGTCTTGTTTTGATCAATAAAGTTTGAACAATTTGAAAGTTGTAGTCCAATTTAACTTGTTGAACTTGTAGTCCAGATGGTCTTAGGCTCAAGGGCCAAGCTGTGTCCTAAGGCTGAAAATGCCATAACAGGTATAAAGGCAAATACGACAGTGGGGGAGAGGGGGGAAGGGGTAGATGGAAGGGGACTCATTCGGGGGTAGGAGAGTAGCATGGGCAATGTCTTCAGCAGCAAACCTCATACAGACATACAGTACCAGTCAAAGGTTTGGACACACCTACTCATTCCAGGGTTTTTCTTTATTTTTACTATTTTCTACATTGTAGAATCATAGTGAAGACATCAAAACTATGAAATAACACATATGGAATCATGTAGTAACCAAAAACGTGTTAAACAAATCAAAATATATTTTATATTTGAGATTCTTCAAAGTAACCATCCTTTGCCTTGATGACAGTTTTGCACACTCTTGGCATTCTCTTAACCAGCTTCACCTGGAATGCTTTTCCAACAGTCTTGAAGGAGTTCCCACATATGTTGAGCACTTGTTGGCTGCTTTTCCTTCACTCTGCAGTCCAACTCATCTCAAACCATCTCAATTGGGTTGAGGTCGGGTGAATGTGGAGGCCAGGTTATCTGATGCAGCACTCCCATCCCTCTCCTTCTTGGTTAAATAGCCCTTACACAGCCTGGAGGTGTGTGGGGTCATTGTCCTGTTGAAAAACAAAAATGATAGTCCCACTAAGCGCAAACCAGATGGGATGGCTTATCACTGTAGAATGCTGTGGTAGCCATGCTGGTTAAGTGTGCCTTGAATTCTAAATAAATCACAGACAGTGTCACCAGCAAAGCACCCCCACACCTCCTCCTTCATGCTTCATGGTGGGAACCAAACATGCGGAGATCATCCGGTTGGACACGGCGGTTGGACTCATCTGGTTGGACACATGCTAAGACACGGCGGTTGGACTCATCTGACCAAAGGGCAGATTTCCACCAGTCTAA